CACCAGACCCTTACTCCAGCAGCTGTCTCTTAGGGACCCGCGCTCAGTGCCGCTGCGGTAATTTTTGAGACGTTTTCAGACAGTGTCATTCATCATGGTTTAGAGGCTAGACTCTGAACAGCATGTTCCTCTCGCTCCGGATAAAAGTGGCGACCTGAGAGATGAGAAAACGGCAAAACTAAATGAAAATCTCATTTTGCTGTCGCCATGAAGGCATCAAACATCCGTCTGTGAAGCGCTGAGTCATTCTGAGCAGGGATGGGGAAATTATCTGCTCTCCTATTTGTCTTTTCACAGTGTTCTTAGAATGCACAATTACACACAGCACCTCTGTTCTGCTGTTGTATAACACTGTGGAAGTGAAAACAGCTTGACAGGCGTGTTTTAAAATAAGGCTAACTTTAGGGGTTGGCGATATGGCAAAAATGTAACCTCATAAGTTTCACGATAATTCTTTTTCTGAGGTTTAATAAGGTAGAACAGACATAAATGTGCCAGTATAGCCTTATGAAAAATTCACGGATTTTCAAATTAAGCAGGGCTTATTCTGCTCTGTTGTACTTTCAGGATTGTCGGGATTCAAGCTCATAATTACCCGACAATAGAATGATACTTTAAACAGCTACACCATGCTGGAGACTCCTCTGAATCTCCTTGTAATAAAACACAGTCTTCTGTAATGATATTACATATGATATAGTGAGAAAAGCCTATTCTGTTGAAGCGTATCATGGTAGTGATGACACATTCATATCAACCACCCCTTTCTACTGTTGCTACTTCCAAAACATGTCCCTTGTTATTCCTGTTATATACTCTTTTTCTAGCCTGCTCCACACAGCCTAAAGCCCTTATGCCAACAAAATGAGATAAAATGAGGCAAATATTCTTTATCTAGGACCCTTAAAATGATAGTTCAGTGAATTTACACAGTTTCCTCAAATGTAGTCAATCACTCAAAACTTATTTGTTGTACCAAGTTTGGATAAAAATGGATTGTGCTTTACATAGCTAAAAATGATATATTTGAACCCTGACTTTTTAGTCTTGAAGCCTGATTTTTTATTTTTTTTTTCCCCTGCTGAAAAAAAATGCTTAATAAAAATGGTTTGTGCTGGTTTAAGCTAGTCTGGTGCAGGTTTACCTGGTCACCCAGCATAGCCATGCTTCCTGACCAGCAAACCAGCATTCAGAACACAACACATGCTGATTTTGGTGGTGATCCGCATAAATTTTCCATCGCTGCCACCCGGCATACCAGCATTCAAAATGCAATCTATGCTGGTTTTGCTGGTGATTGTTTTTGTATTTTTATGTGTAACAGTAGGTCACGCAGTGTCAGGAACCACATAAGCAAGTCTATTTGAGATTACTTGACAGCGTCACGCAATGTGCGGTAAGAGTAATGATTTAGACATGCAGATTGCACAATGTTAATTATGTATAACGCAAAATAAACTTATTCCTTTTGTAGACAGAAAGACAGAAGTAAACAAAACATTATTCCCAGAACCATCTCGTTTCACTGGAACACATCGTTTTGAAGACCTAAGTCCTAAGTAGGAACCTGAGGAGAGCTTGAAGGCAGCGTAAATGATGTACTATATGTACCAGCGTAAATGATGTACCATATCCCGCCACCAACCCCTCGCTCCGCTCTTTCACTGTCGAACAAATTCAATCAGCCCACGTTCATGTTCTCATCTGGCTAATGCTGTGCACACCGCTGTGTGCTAATTCATTTCATTAAAGGAAGCTCCTTTAAACTCAACTTAATCTACTGCCACTGAGAGGATGCAGACAGTGTGGTAATGTGAGTGAAGGAGTGTGTGTGTGTGTGCGTGTGTGTGTGTGTATGAATGAACGGTGTGCTTTTATTACAGGTAGGATTTACACTTCATGTCTTACTGTCATTTTAGATTGTATTCAAAAGAGCAGAAGATACTGATCTGAGATGGCCGAAAGTATGTGAACACCTGACCGTCACACCTATATATGCTTGCTGGACATTCCGTTACAAAAGCATGGGTATTATAATGAAAATGTCCCCCCTTTGTGATTATAAAGCCTCCACTCTACTGGGTATGCTTTTCATACGATTTTGGAGCATGTCTGCAGGAATCTGTACTCATTCAGTAAAAAGAGCATGTGTGGTGCAGCCTCTGATGTTGGACTGTAAAGCCTGGCTCACAATTAACATTCCAATTCATCCCAAAGGTGTTCATTGAGGTTGAGGTCAGAGCTCTGTATCCTGCACACCAAACTTGTCAAACCATGTCTTTATGGACCTCGCTTTGTTTACAGGGGCATGGGTTGGAACAGGAAAGGGTCTTTCCCAAACTGGTGCCACAAAGACAGCATATCTTTGTCTAAAATGTCTTTGTATGCTGTAGCATTAACATTACCCTACTGGAACTCAGGGGCCAAGCCCAAACCCTGACAAACAGCCCCAGACCATTATCCCTCCTCCACCAAACTTTACTGTTGGCACTATGCATTCCAGTAGGTCGCGTTCACCTGGAATCCACCAAACCCAGATTCGTCCATCAGACTGCCAGATAGTGAAGCATGATTCATCACCCCAAAGAACACATTTCCACTGCTCCAGCATCAAGTGGCCCGTGCAATACACCCTCCAGCCGACGTTTGGCATTGTACATAGTGATAATAGGCTTGTGTGCAGCTGTTTGGCCATTGAAGCCTGTTTCATGAATATCCCAATGCACAGTCCTTGCTATTAACTGATTGTGCTAGTGAGTGATGCAACAGCGTGTAGGTGATTTTATGATTTTTAGCACTTGGCTCTGTGGGTTTGTGTGGACTGCTGCCTTGTGGCTGAGCTGTTGTTGCTCCTAGATGCTTCCTTTTCACAATAATATTAGCTCCAAAAACATTACATATTGTTCTTAATGTTTGATTGCGCATCATAATTTTATTTCGGCCTTTGAGCACAGTATTTTTAGTCAAATACCTGTTCAGTACTTCATTAAAAGGGTCACATATGGGAAGATATATTTCTCATGCAGTATTTCAATCCTGAATGTAGTCCATCCATTAAAGTAATTTAAGCCAAAGAAAACCCATTTTTTTGTCATTTTTATACGTTTTCATACGTAAGCCATAAATAGACTTTGTTGTTTTATGTTTCTCTGTATACAGTGTACAGTCTGGCCCTTCAGTGTTCCTTCCACAACACAAGTTGTAGTGTATTTATAAAATTTCTTTTCTTATTGTCTTGGTGTGTATGCAATATTTAAATTTCCCATACACTGCCAATCATTATTTCTTCAAAGTATTATCCAGCTGTAGTATAGAGCTGTATCCATGTCCTGATTAATTAAATATTGGATGGTCCCACAGCAAGGAACTTAACAAAGCTCACAGCTAGTTGTCAATAACAAGATTCTTTTGCACTGTATAAATGTTACTCGTATTTATATTCCTTGTTATGTTTAGGTTATGTAGTGTTACAGGCAAAAACACTTGATGAATAGTTTTGGCCTTTTTGCATTGAACTGTACTTTGACCCCTCTGCCCAAACACAGCAGTGGAGAAGGTGTGGAGGAAGTGTTGATGTGTAGGTGGGTGGGTGTGGTGTATATGTTTACATGTGACAGCCAGTCAGTGATTCTAATATAGCAGTGCTTACAAACCTGGTCTCGGGCAACAGAAAGCTTTTCACCACTGCAAACTGACTTGTTTCGTTGACAGGTATGAGTTGTTTTGGTAACTGTGTTATGGTGAATATGGTGCAGTATGTGGTGTGTCATTGCGGTTTAAGCAGTCTGGCTGCTGAATCACTGCAGAGTGTGTGTACGCGAGAGTGTGAACAGAAGCCAATCAATGCCCAATTTTCCAAGTGTGTCGAGTTGCATGAGTAATGTGGAAGCAATCTGTGATTTCAGCAGCTTTCGGTCATGCTCTGTAGTCATCAATGAGGTTTTAATCAAATGCATAACAGCCATTGGGCACTTTTACTATGACTGATGTTCAGTTTGAAGTGGATTTGAGTGGCTCTTTATATACAAACGCTTCCTTTTTCCTCAACTTCTGCCAGGGTGTGTTTCTGTAAAGTCCGCATGCCTTTATTCCGGGACACAGGGGTCCAAGTTCAGCTTTGTCCAGATATAAATAATGCAGTGAGCTTTGAATTTTACTGTTTGAAACAGACAAACAGGGGGTTAATGATGGTTTGATTATGTGCGGTACCACTCACAAGTGTGTACATATCAGATTGAATGTGTTTTTCATTATTTTAAAGGGACAGTTTAGTGGGGAAAACAGAACTTTCTTTACATTTTTTGAAATAAGAGTTTGATGTTCTGTGTAAACATAGTTATGTACGTTACCAAACGTACCATTCACTCCCAAATCTATATAATCCATGCGTAGAAACTATGGAGATTCCATGTATGGAAACCCAGCTGCAAAATTAGCCTGTTTTCAATTAATTTGTATGTAAGGACATAGTATGAAATTTGTACATGAAATCATATGCAAAAGTTTATGTGCTCCTGGTTAAATTACATGTTTTGAGTGAAAATAAATCAACACTCGCTATAGAGAACACACTTCAGCTCATTTTAATGCACAATTACTGGTTGTTTGCTGAATGCAATGGTCTTGGGGGATGAAACATAAAATGAGGCCTCTGCAAAAGTTATGACCCATTTTAAATTTTAATTTATTATTATTTTATGTCTGTTAAACTCAGCAAATAATTAGAAATTGTGCACTGAAATTTAAAAAAAAAAGAATTGGAAAATGATCATGTTGCTATTGATTTTGTCTGTTTTAGGGACATGCGCACACGTGTTATGAATGGACCTCAGGAAAAAAGAAAAATAAGAATATGGGCCCTTTAAATTTAAATTTTTTTTCTTTCTCTCTCTCTCTCTCTCTCTCTCTCTCTCTCTCACACTCTCTCTGTGTCTCTCTCTCTCTCTCTCTCTCTCTCTCTCTCTCTCTCTCTCTCTCTCTCTCTCTCTCTCTCTCTGCAGTGTGGAGGGTGACGCTGCTGGTGCTGAAGCTGCTGCAGTGTCTCTGGACAGCAGTGGTGAATACGCTCGTCTGCCAGTGACGCGCAGCTCCATCCTCGGCTCCGAGCGCTTCGAGCCGCTCTACACGCACGAGGTTCGGCCACGGCCGCGCCGGCCAAAACTCCAGCACTCTCAGTCTATCCTCCGCAAACAGGCCGAGGAAGAGGCCATCAAACGCTCACGATCACTTTCCGAAAGCTATGAACTCTCCACTGACCTCCAGGACAAACAGGTGAGGAAGATTTTATCTGTTGTTGTCGGTTTTGTTGATGCCATGTTGACTGTGAGTAACTTCTAGAATGTATCAATGAAAAATGTCAGTCTCGAGCAAATATACTGTCAGTCAGCTTTACAGGGTGAGGATGATGAGGGGACACTGCCCATCAAAATGTTTATAATAAATGAGCATGGTTTCTTTGTCTGGTTTTAATAACTATGCAGGGTATTAAAGACTATGTAGATTATTTAGATAACAGTATAATGTGTTAATATTTGCACAAAAAATAGATTTTTTTTCTCTAAATGAATCTGCTTAGGCTTTAATATGTTGCAAAAGGACAAAGAAAGCATGTTCATTTGTATTAATAATGGTTAGACAAGTGTAGATTCCCTACACAAAATCTGATATTGCTAACAATGATTGAAAGCAGTAGGCTGTTAGCATTACACAAAGGCGATCAAGCTAACTGGGCTACTTGCAACAGACTTCCATTCATTTTTGACTAGAGCCCAAACAATATAACCAATGGTTTGTCAACTGATTGACAAACCATTCAATCATGAAGATGCAGACAACATGTGAGGCTTATTGTTGTTGCTTTGATTGTGATTCGTGTATGTGTCTCTGTTTTAATACATAGTAGGGGCAGGATGGTACATTTATCCCAAGATTCTATGTGAGGAATAGGCCCGGATACAGTTAAACGCTAGTGAAAATTTAAAAATTGTGGTTATGACTCTAATGTGAAAGCTACAGTGTGTTTGTATCCCCAGCCAAGTTCTGACCACTCAGCAAATACCCTCATGTAATTTGGTGCACATTAGTCATTGCGATGTGAAACCAAGCAAGCAAAAGAAAAAGTGTCATTTTTCAAGAACGTCTTGTTTGGTCAGATCTGATCATTTTGTTATTCATCAGTTTCATCTTTGGCATACCTAAACAATCATGTACTGAACTCACGTCTAGTAGAAGTGATATGGGCTTAATATTTTAACAACCTGAAATATGTCTGATTTGTGGTTAAATAATCAAAAGTTTCATTTAAAACATCAATAACTTCACAGAAATCAGTAAAAATAGAAAATAACAATGTCAATAACTGTGCACACAGCAATCCTAGTACTAAGTTGGATGTACTTCTTTTTTATAACAAAAACAAATGCTGCAACTATACGTTTCCTTTAAAGACTTTTGCTTTATACTGATGCTAAACTACTGATATAATAAACTCCCTCCCTAAAAATACAAAACATATAGCTTACTTAGTACAGTAGAAGCTCATAAACTGTAATACGATTGCTGAAGTAGCCAGTGTTTTATGAAAAGAATCACAGTATACAGTCATGAGTGTACCATCTGGAAAAAAATAGGTTGTCACATTGTTCATTGCTCGACCCCAAACTCCATCTCTGAGGACAACGATTATCTCATGAGCTGTTGAGTGCTTTTGTTTTATTGGCTCACTGTCAAAACATCTACTTTCATTTTGCATAAATTATATGTATATGTGGACAAATAGGGGCATGTCCATTGCAAATGATATGTAAATAAGGCATGCACAAGTGCTTGTTTTCCAAGCACTGAAGCTACTTCATCAGTCGTGCCCAAATCACCACTTTGTTCATCGTAGGACAGTTTCTGTACGTCTATGCAACTTGGAAGAAAAAGGGCAGAAAAACTTAGACTCTGCTCCAGACTTTAGGAAACAAACTAGGTGTGAAAACAGTTTCGGTTTCATTGTTGGCCACAAGGTCCATAAAGGATAGTCACAGTTCTCTGTGCTAACTTTCTTAATGTAGAGCAGAACAGTGTAGCCCCAGGCTGGTGTGTGTCCCTCAGCTCAGAGAGACTGAACACACACACACACACACACACACACACACACACACACACACTCATTCAGAACCAACTGGTAACTCCTGCTGTGTGAGAGTCATTCACAGAGCTGCAGGTGTCTGTGAGGTTACAAAGAGCTGAGCAATGGGATTAGTCTTCCCTGTGCGACAGCCTGAGGGGCTAGAGGTTCTCCAAAATGTTAGCAGGGTAGTATTGAGCAGAGCAGCTTTCAAGAAATAGTTTGGCAAAAAATCTAATTTACAGCTTACCTGAAAAATAGCTTGTCAGCCTAGACATGTATGATGTCAAAAGTTTGTATTTTTAAGAGCTTAAGAGTCTGTTAATGTAGCTAATAGGTAATGGAAGCTTATAGCTCTGCAGTTAGCGTCTTGTAAACTGCATGCCTAAATCACTTGCCTCAAACCACATAGAGTTGAGTAATCTCAAACTGACTTGCTTATGTGGTTTCTGACTTGTATGACATTCTCTTATCTAGGGACGCACTGATCATGAAATTTTACGGCTGATTCTGGTTTCTTTACAGGCAGATTTTTATTAGCTGTGTGGGGTAAATGAACACAAACACACTTGCACATTTGTTTTTATTACCCAAACTTGTAATATAAACATCATTTGCTCTGTAATGGGCCAATCTGACATTTTAAAATGTTTTGATTTTAAAACAGTTGCCTATTATGGATTAACGTACTGTTTCAAAAGTATGAGGCATAATTATGCTACAATGTTTTAGTATGCAAGTGCCTAGCAACAATAATAGCAGCCATCTTGAAGCCTGAATTTTCTCCAAAGGACAACATTTTTTGATATTTATGTTTTGATGGCAAATACTTTTTTACAGCACTGTCCATTGAGACCTGATCTTTTGGTCTTAAAAAAAACAGCAATGATCTAACCCCAGCTGTGGCTGTGTTTGGTGTGTTTTGCAGGTGGAGATGCTGGAGCGTAAGTATGGGGGGCGTTTCATAACCCGGCATGCGGCCCGCACCATCCAAACAGCCTTCCGGCAGTACCAGATGAACAAGAACTTTGAGCGTCTCCGGAGCTCTATGTCGGAGAACCGCATGTCCAGACGCATCGTCCTTTCCAACATGAGGATGCAGTTTTCCTTTGAAGGACCTGAGAAAGTCCACAGTTCCTACTTTGAGGGCAAACAAGTTTCAGTAACAGACGATGGCTCTAAGCTCGGATCACTGGTCCAGTCCGAGTGTGGCGAGATGGTTCCGGCTAATATAAAGTCGCCTATGGCCCAGAGCGATTTCACTGATGCTATTACAGAGCTGGAGGACACTTTTTCCAGGCAGGTGAAGTCTTTGGCAGAGTCAATAGATGATGCTTTGAACTGTCGCAGCTTGCATGGAGACGAAGGTCAAGCTGAGCCAGGTCAGCGCGACCGTGATCTTGAGCGAGAGGTGGCGACCTCTTACCAGGTCAAACCTTCGCATAGTAGTGGGGATCACCGCAAATTGGACGAAATGACTGCTTCTTATAGTGACGTGACGCTTTACATTGACGAAGAAGAACTTTCCCCTCCACTTCCTCTTTCACAGCCTGTGGACCGGCCATCTAGTACTGAATCTGACCTTAGGCTACGATCCCTAAATTCATCCCAGGACTATTGGGCTCAAGCGCATAAGGACGATAAAGGCGATACGGACACTAGCTGCAGAAGTACGCCATCCTTAGAGTGTCAAGAACAACGACTGAGGGTGGATCACCTTCCTTTGCTAACCATAGAGCCCCCTAGTGACAGTTCAGTGGAACTGAGCGACCGCTCTGACCGTAGTTCACTCAAAAGGCAAAACGCCTACGAAAGAGGCATTAGCAGCCAACAAGGAAGCCCAAAACACGGCTCTACCCACGCTCATCCAGCCCGCGGGCCATCAAGAGATGAAGAACGACATCGGCCAAGACAGCTAGAGAGCCACCTGGCCATCAACGGCACAGCGGCAAACAGGCAGAGCAAGTCTGAGTCAGATTTTTCGGATGGAGACAACGACAGCATCAACAGCACCTCCAACTCCAATGACACCATCAACTGCAGCTCCGAATCATCATCTCGGGACAGCCTACGCGAGCAGACGCTGAGCAAACAGACCTACCACAAAGAGACTCGAAACAGCTGGGACTCACCAGCTTTCAGCAACGACATCATCCGCAAGAGACACTACCGCATTGGCCTGAACCTGTTTAACAAGTAGGTGGAGGGTGAAGGGGGTAGGGTTTGGAGAGATAGAGAGAGACACAGAAATAGACATGATTTATAAGTTAAATGTAATATGTGAAATGATTAATTGCATTTTTTTGTGTAGTTAATCGTGATGAACTGTATTTGTCTTGCTCAAATTTGACTCCAGTTTTAAAATTGCAGATTCTGTTATAGCAACATGCATGCAGCTGAGCTTTTACCACAGTAATAGGCCCAACTGATGATGATAACTCATTTACCGCTGGTTTAAAAAAAAAGTAAAAAGTTATTTTGTGTGAACCATAGCAAGACACTTGTATTTCCCTCATGTGCACATAACATGTTAGGATACGATATCCTACATTTACACCACCTTTTTTGTACTTAAAATAAATGATAGTAGAAACGTGGTTGTTGAGCTGCACTGGTTGAATGTGCTCGGAGGGGCACTGTGTGCTGTTGTGGCAGGGAGATATCATGCCTATAGAAAAAGCTACATATGTTATGGGGAATGTTTTAGGACTTCCTTAGACCACAGCATAAGATTTTGGCTAAGGCTAAGTGTTCACAGACACCACAGCCTTGGACATTTAAAGGCTAGAAGGGTCAAGCTAGGAAAATGGGTTTACTGAATTAATAAATTAGTGCTGTTGATTTAATGACATTAATGCATTACCTTAATACCAAAAAATTATATACATATAATTATGCACATATAAATATACAGTGTACATTGTGTATATTAGGCCTGGGAAATATCTATATATAATTAGCACAATATTTTCTTATTCAACAGTAGTTCTTAACAGTTATTTTATTATTTGCCAAGCTATTTGAAGGTAAATTAGAAGTAAATTTGTACTCTCCAATAAATTAGTCCTCTCTAGTTCTCTGAGTTTTCCCCAACACCGCGAAAGCATCGACATCAGGTTACTTGGCAATAATTGCTGATATCCGATTACATCACCCTAAACTAAATATTTCAACCAAAAGAAATCTTTTAGAAAAGTTTTAATGTTTGTTCTTATTTCAGTACTGTTTTAACAATACTCTAACTGAAGTAATGCTTACTGAAGAGAATTGAATATATACATATACAGAGGGAGATGGGTGTTGTGTTTAGCTGCTTTGGATATTTTTCTAATCAGACCATATTAGCTGTGAACGAGCAGACCATGTGAATGTGTGAGGAGGTGTTATTTTTCAATTATCGTCTTAACCTTTAACCCACAGTGCTGTGTATTTATATTAACCTGTTGTAGTCACATCAGCCTGTTAGCTTATTCAACAGCAGTGCAATTCTGTGTGTGTGTGTGTGTGTGTGTGTGCGTGTGTGCAGTGTGTGTGTTTGCAGTGTGTGATTGCATTTTTGTCCTTCATATAATTAACACCAATCAGGACTGTGGGGAAAGCTGCAAAGATCAAACAAGCACACTTAGTTCAGTTAGAGAGGCTGATTAGGCTGCGTTAGATTTCCAACTGACAAAGTAAACCACCGACCAAAAAAACATCCAAAAGCTGACCATCTGCTTCTGTAATGAAGAACGGATCAAAGTTAAACCTTGAGTAAACAAGACTGCCTTTTTTATGCACAGTGCGGTGGGGAAAGATAATTTGTGAGCGTGCATATTCATTCTGGGAGTTTCAAGTGTTTGAAATGAGATTACATATCATATTGTTTGGATTAACGCTTGCTCTGAAGTGACTGGTTAGTGATTGTGTGTGTGTGTGTGTGTGTGTGTTTGTGTGGCTATGTGTTATTTTCAAGGCATTTCTGTCCTGTTATTACATATAGGTTCACATCACGCACTTATGGATGTATAATATATATGGTACATACAGTACAGTGCAAAATCAGGGACTACCCTTCATTCAGCCATTTCTAGTCAAATGACCATAAGATACAAAGTAATTTTCAGGAGACATTTCTGTGGGCAAAGTCAAAGGAAAATAAGTGAGTAGTCCAAAAGATATATATCAAAATATTATGTAGAGAAAATGGGACTCCTAACAACCGTGCAAGACCTGGTAGACCACCAAAACTGCCACCATCAGATAAACAGCACTTAAAGCTTTGAATTTTTGAGAGAGAGGAAAAAATCGAGCTCCATTCCTGCTTTAGATCTGAAAAAATCCTCAGGTGTTTTATGGACTGCTGAGTCTAAATTTGTAATTGGGATCACTTGGACTGTGAGAGTATAATATTTAGTTGTTGAGGCTTCTTTGTAAATTTATGTTAAATATATATTTTTGCTTTGTTTTTCCTGACACTGAAAAATGAATAACTTGAACATAATGGCTGTTTTAACTGAGATTTAAATAAGTGAAGGGTGGTCTTTGATTTTTGTACAGTACTGTAGGTACTGACATTTAATACATAAAACATATGCGTGACCTCATGTCCTGGCACTGAATTATATGTGTGTGTGTGTGTGTGTGTGTGTGTGTGTTTGAATGTCTGTGAATCTAAAGCTTTGTTTAAAGCAGCAGGCCTTTAATCTTAGATGACTGTGGATTTGATTGCTCTCTGCCTTGAGTCATTAAGTTCGTCTTAATCAAGTTTGCTACTTTCATGGGTCTAAGGGCTGCTCTGACACACTTTTTGCTTGCTCATGCTGTGCTCAGACTAGGGCTGCACAACATCTGGAAATTGTGATATTAGTCTATGTAAATTGATGTTGCAAAAGGCAAAGACTGTTATTTGCCTTCTTACCAATCAGAATGTTTTTACCGTGTGCCCTGATCCTCCAGACCAATCACAGTTCCAGGGGAGTGAGATGTGAAATATAAAAAAACATAAACAAATGTAATAGTTGAAATAATGCAGGCCAATTTTTACCCATGATGCACAAATATGTTTTTAATATATTACAACGTATATTGCAGTCGTGATATGTTGCAGCACAATTGCAGTTCTGTATTTTGCTCATGTCGTGTAGCCGTGACAAATGAGTGACAGGTGGTATGACAACAGAGATATAATAGACATAAGCAAAAACAGTGTAATAAGTATTATATTTCCCTTTGATTTTCACAGGAAGCCAGAGAAAGGTATCCAGTACCTGATTGAACGCGGATTCGTCCCAGACACTCCGGTGGGCGTGGCCCACTTTTTATTGCAGAGGAAGGGGCTGAGTCGGCAGATGATTGGCGAGTTTCTGGGCAACAGACAGAAGCAGTTCAACCGAGATGTCCTAGAGTGAGTCCACTCTCAGTATCATACACACACAGTGGAGTACAGAATCATTTATTAGCCAAGTACAGATTTACAAGGAATTGTTCTGTTTGTGAAGTGAATAGTAGGTGTAGTTTTTTGATCGTTAGTGATACATCATCACTGTAAGAAAACCATAAATCTCTGATACTAAAGATGGCATATAGGTGTTAGTGGGTATCTCAGACCCTCCAGGAAGTTGTGATGTTGTGACCGCAAGAATCCATGCAAATTCAGCCAATCCAATTGAAATATGCTCACAACTGTTGTGATTTTGTCAGTTCTGTTCTGATTTTTTATCTGCACATCCATGTGAGTGCTCTTCCATGTTTTTCGTAAGCAGTTGCCTGCTGTGTGTCTGCTGTGACAGAGCCTTTTGTAGCAATATAATGCTGCTTTTGGAAACAAAACCTTGTGTTTCCTTTTTGCTGTTTTTCAGTTTTTTACATAATTTTAAAGTGCCTGTTGCTCTTTACATGGTCTGTAAATTTCATGATAAATTGGCCAAAAGAAACAGCCCAAAATTACTTGGAAAAATGTCTGGTTTCATTGACTTACGTTAAAAGTAAAGTGTGTTTTGTCCTTCTCCTGTAAAGTTACCATTTTAGAGATACAAGGTTTTGTTCCGGCAACAGCGATAAGTTTGGGAAGTTCACAGCCTAAAAGTTATTCAGTCGATTTATTTGAAGCACTTTGTAGCTTTTAAGTGTGGCCGACACTTTCCAGTCTATTGTTGGTGATTTTGCATGTCAGTCAAATGTCCCTTTCCTGTTAAAGCTGGAGGTTCTTGGCCACATTAAGGCAGAAGTCTTGCTTGTGAATGTGAAGCCGTAGATAACAGGTCACACTTACTAACAAACTAAAGACAGGGCTAAGAGATACTCTTAAATTCTTTTTTGTTTTAACAGAAACAACCTAGGCTACAATTAAAGTATGTGAAATAAATACCAGACTCTTAATCTTCACCAATTTCAACATTGCAACCTACTCCCTCAGAAAAGCAAACAAAAAAAAAATTGCCGCAAATTGTGAGAAATGCCACTAACATTTTAGTCCACAGCAATCACAAAAAATGGCTGCGCAATCCTGGTGGCTATGGTACCTGGCCGATATGAGCAGAAAATGCTGGCTTGGGTATCTGACGAAAACAAATGTATGAATCTGATCTAATCCTTTAACAGAATATAGCCTTAAATAAAAAAAATGTGTTATGTGATGTTAGCTGTGTATTTCTTTTAAAATCAGTTAAAGATAACTTTTTTAAGCTCAGTAGTTTAACAATATTTATGGGTATCAGTCATTGCCCATACAGTACGTTTCAGTGTTGATACAGGAAAAGAAAAAGTGCTATCACACTCTGTCCATTACTTGGCACAACATGGACATCTGTTAGCTGATGTAACAGAGTCAGCAGTTAACGTGTTGAACTGTACAATAATGTTGCTTTAGCAGTAGTTCAAAATGATGCATTGGCTGGCATCGCATATCTCATAGAATACAAGTGCTAGCTTTCACCCGCCAGCTTTGTGTGATGGGGAGACCTAGCTAGTGAGTAGAGTTGCCCTCAATTAAACTTTTTTTTTTGTTTTGCACTGGAGCTACGAGGCTCATGTTACTAACAAGCAATAGAGGCTATACCCCTTAAGTTATTGTGCGAAGTGCATGCCTAAATCAACATGCTGTTGCCTTAAACCACACCGAGTTGTTAAGTAACCTCATATAGACTTGCTTATGTGTTTCTGACCCTGTATGACATACTGTTGTCTTTTAAAATTAACGAAAGTGCATCACATAGCAAAAAAGAAGTTGTAGCAGGCATTTAAAAGAAATGTCTGGAATTTGTGCACACTTTCCATTTTTATAGATAAGTGTGACATACAGTAGTCACAGCTTGAAGCAAGTATGTGATTTGGGTTTTTGGACGGCACAGTGCTGAATGGTGGGGTATAAGCTTCCATCACTTGATAGCAAGAGGATAGTGAGCCACTGTTGGCCCACTGGAGGCAAAGCTAGCGGCCCACTGACTTTCTGCTTAGCGTTTTCTGGGTGGCCCACTGGTGGTTCAGTAGAATATTAGACAAAATAACACTTTTCAGCTCTTCATTTTTCCATTCACACTCCAACTTACTTGATTGTTTAGTAGATACTTTTAATGGCAATATCGTAAATAAAGCCAGTTATACAGCTGTAACCAATCTAGCACAGTGTCAGCAACATTTTCAACAAAATCATTTTATATTAGGCCTAGGATGTTTTTTATATATATATTGTTTGTAATATTTATCCTATTTTATTTTGCAAAATAAAAGGCTGTGTGTACTTAATCTGTTTGAGAAGATTAAAAACTAGTTAGACCTTGTTTATGCATGACAATAATCTGGGTGGTCCGAGCGTGGACCAGCAGTGGCACACGGTCCTTATCAAGCCGTTGGACCACCTCGCTATCTGTGTATAGCCTCATAATTTGGATGCCAAACTCTAGACCGAAATTTAGGACACCAAACATGTCTTAGTCAACTACATTAGGGCTAAGTGGGAAAGTATGTACCGCTTTAGATGTCTGCAGTTGGTCCTATGATCTGGTCTCCACTACAGCTGAAAAATTAGTGCTGTCTGTGCAGCCGGTGGGATTTGGTCTGACAGAAAACCCTACACTTTTATATAAAGCAGAGGAGGTTTTAACTGATGTTTTTCCCCCTTAGAGACTTGTATTGATTTAGTCCAGTGGTCCACAAGATATTTTTCCAGTGGAAGCAAACTGGACTTATCAACAGCTAACAATCTATTACTTTTACTTAATTTTGAATGTTTGTAGTGGTCTTTCATGAGTGCCTGGTGTTTTCTGACATAATTACTTAATGTCATGTTTTTGTGAGCCTACTTTAAATGCTACTACTAGCATTTAGCACTGTCATCTATCGATTAACTTTTTTTTTTTGGCTTTTAATTTAAAACACTGAAAAATATGAATTTCCGCGTGCATTGTGAGCGGGAAAAATGAGCAGTTTCTGGTGTAATCACTTGTGTGTGTGTTTTCTCTGTGCAGCTGTGTGGTGGATGAGATGGATTTCTCCAGTATGGAACTGGACGAAGCCTTAAGAAAGTTCCAAGCTCACATTCGGGTTCAGGGAGAAGCACAGAAGGTGGAGCGGCTGATCGAGGCTTATAGGTAAGTAAAACAAAATCAAATATAAACCTATCCATTGAATCCAGAAAGGCTGTATACCTTTCTTTACAAGCTTCTGCTAGCAGCAGTCAAGGAAAAAAACTGAATCTTGGCGAATATAAAAGAGACTTGTTCACAATCTCTGTTTGCTGTCAAGTATCCCTTTCAGAAATTGGGGGAAGCGTTTTTCTGACTTGTTTTGTCTACTTACTAAATTTTCCCTCAAAATAAAACATGATGTGTTTTTCTGGCCCATAGAGAATATGCTTTGAACTGTTCTAATAGCAGAATGTCTCGCCTTAGTAAGTGTCCGAGCATTTATTTTGCAGCTCTGAAATTGCACTGAATTAATGATAGTCTACCTGCAGCACTGTCCAGAAGAAGTGTGGTAGCCAAAAGCTGAGTAGGCAAATTTGTTCTGAACAAACTATGTATGCCTGTTCATTTTTTAGCTGTGGAAATATAGAGCTATATAAGTGAACATGGCCCCTAAAAGCACCAATAGAATTTCATCCCCAAGAAACAGTTCCACAAAAGTAAAATCTTTTACTCAATTTTCCACTTACACTTTTATGTCAGACAAGACATGTTTGATGTCTGAATTTACTTTGTGTTATACTTGAGCTATGAGGCTAACATAAGCTAATAAATAATGGAAGCCTAGTACTTAGCATTATGCAAACTACCTGCATAAATCATCACACACATGCTTCAGACTCTAAGTTGTTGAATGAATACAAGTAGATGTTTTCATGTGGTTTCCGACACTGTATGACATATTATCTATAAAACATCTGAACAGTCATAACCATCTCGAAGTCTGAATTTTTTCCATACATCAGTATGTCATACAGTGTCAGAAACCACATGAGCAAGTCTGTTTCAGATTACTTAACAACTTAAGATGGTTTGAGGCACAAGCATAATGATTCAGTTGTTCAGTTTCCACAATGCTAACTGCTGTGCATAATGCTGTGTTCGACTTGGCTCAGAAGTGGGAAGTCAGAGCTTGGAATTGGGTTATTTTTCACCTCCATGCATTCAAACTACAAAGAGGGGGAAAAACATAGGCGCCTCCATGAAAATGAGTTTTGTTAGAAATTCCCAGCTGAGGGGGAGTATTGTTTGATTTTTTTTTCCTAGTCAGGGATGGAAAATCCAGAGTTACGATTAACACGGGGCTACTTCAACAGTATTTTGTAGCTACGTTAGCCTCTTAGCTCCAGTGTAAAACAAAAGAAAAACTTCAGACACCAAACATGTTTTACCTGATGGGCTACATCTGGTATGAGGGGAAAACTGTCTAAATTAGATTTTTTTTGCCAAACTACACTGTTTTAGTGGCTAAAACACAAGGTGTAATAAACAATGCATCTGTTTCTTCCTCTCCAGTCAGCGCTACTGCATCTGTAACCCTGGCGTGGTGCGTCAGTTTCGAAACCCAGACACCATCTTCATTCTGGCCTTTGCCATCATCCTCCTTAACACAGACATGTACAGTCCTAATGTAAAGCCTGAGAGGAAGATGAAGCTGGAGGACTTTGTGAAGAACTTAAGAGGTACGAATCTCATCAGTCACCAAATGGAATGCACAAAAGTGTTTAATTCTCCATCAGAGAAATCTGTCACACTACAAAGTGGCTGACACTTAAATGAACTCTAATTGAATCTTATGTAGATGTTATAAAACTGATGAATGACTGCTGTAGAGCAATTTAGCAAGTTATAACTGCACAATTAAAGCAAAGCAACCTCATCCATTGCTGTGATGATCATATGGGATTTAGTTTTAATGCTTTGTTGTAGTTTTATGTAGAACTGCAAAAGAGCAAGATAAATACAGATGTGTACTACAAATTGATAAATATAGAGGTGTGCTTGGATGCAACTTAATTTTAAATGCAATATAAGTTGAAGTGGTCATTAATTAGATTTTTAGGAATGTGCAAGTGAATGTTATACACATTGCATGTATTGTTCTCAATGACAACATGAGCAGAATAACACTGTTCAATAGGGGCGCGGGAAAAAATTGATTCTTAGATGCATCGCGATGCGGACGTGAACAATTCTGAATCAATTCACAAATGTCAAAAATCGATTTTCTAAATATTTAATTTATAACGTAATGTTGACAGAACGCAAAAGGTGGAACTTGGAAGTGCAGAAGTGCAGCGCCCGGACAGTCTGTGGCAGTACATAACAAAAACACAAGTGTAAGAGCAAGAAATCCGACCGGCTCCCTCTGCATTAAAAGCCAGGTTAGGTCAGGAGTCAAAACACAAATGATAAGAAGAGCCATTTTGTCCTTCCAACAAAAATCAAACCACCTTGGGAACCGCAACATTTAATGTGCAGTATGTCTCAGTATGTGCTGAGTATGTGCTCCTAGTATAGACTAAACAATGTAAACGAAAACACAGATTTACTTCGCTCTGCTTTAAGCTTCAGCTATAGCTGCTTTCCTCCCATCTCCGCCAGAAAACTTTTCCTCAGAAGTTGGTCAGTTTCTTGTAAAATGTCTCTCAATGACTCTTTTATGAGGCTGAAGTCACTTCTTATTCTCCAGCTTCTTGTTCGAATTTAAGGTGGAACAGGTAAAAAAGATATTGGAAGTAAATTCATTATGGATCATTACAAATACTTTGCTTTAAAAGTGCCAAGTCACTTTAAATAACAATAACACCGAGTCACTTAGTCACTTTAAAATGTATATTGTCTCTATATTCTGTGTATATTTTGTATATATTTAATATATTTCAGTTGGTTTTTCTTGTATTTTTATTTTTACTTATTTACTTTCTGTGGAGTGATTACCTGTGCCTCACCACAAGCATTTCAGTGCATACATGTCCTGACATGTTGTGCAAATGACAAATAAACTTGAAACTTGAGCTCACACAGTGAGAAAATATAAATGCTATATAGAAAAAAAAGATGCATCAAGATGCACCGATAATCGTTTTATAATCACATCGCAGCCCTCTGAATCATAATCGAATCGTGAGGTGCCTAGAGATTCCCACCCCTACTGTTCAAGTATTGAGAAAGATGCACTGCTATTAATCAGTACAGTGTCTCTATTAGGCAGCTGAGAATTATCAGAATTAATATGCGTGGATACCTCTTTGTCGGTTTATTGAATTATGTATTTTGCTAACAATGAATGAAAGCAGATAACACCACTTACAAACTCTAATTCCAAAAAAGTTGGGACAGGTTTATTTTACCATACGATTTTTTGTGTGTGTAAATATGTGCTTGTTTCAACACTTAGTAATCAGTTGGGGATTGAAGACATTAAGATTGTTAAATTAATGAACAATTAAAAACAATGTTGAAATTATAAAGTATGTCTCTGAAAAAAACGTTGTCTAGAAGGAAGCATATGTTGCTCTGAAATGCATATATATGTTTCGGTGTTAATGTCGCCTTCACAGTTGTGCAAATTACACCATGGGCACTAATACACCCCCAGATGAGCTTGAGGCCAGAGAATTGGCGGTGTTTTGGATGTTAAAATATGGCTTCAGCTGTGCATAGTACAGTCTTAACTTGCATTTGTGGATGAGTGATACGTTGAAGAATGTTGTTGTTCACTGATGCGTTTTTGACAAACTGATAAGCCTCAAACTATTGTAGCTCATAAAGGGCTAGACCTTTTCTCGATGCTTCTGTTATGCCCAAACATTATTGCATCACCTCTTTAAAATGATTTTTTTCAACATTTCACAACATTCTTAAATTGCCCCGTTTGAAGTTACGTGAAACGTTGCAGACATCAATTTCAAAATAAGCACATATTTACCAAAAAAAAAAGTTAGTGAGGTGAAACATTAAATATCTTCTATTTTTACTGTTTTTGTTTAAATGCATCTCAAAATGTATTTACACATCACTGCTTTCTGTTTTAATTGCATTTCACACAGCTATTTGGAATTACGGTTTGTAGTATTATAAAAAATAACTGATGGCTGCAGACTTGCTACTTAATGTCAGTGGCGTTAGCAGCCATTGACACTGTCACTTTCAGTTGGACAGTTTTTCAGGTATTAGTTTTGTGTGGTGTTGTTTGGTGGTTATTGTGGTTAATGTAACACTATGCCAAAGGAAGAAGTTGCCTCTTAGGCATGAATAGATTTTGATTTGATTAAATGATTTTGTGTGTGTGTGTGTGTGTGTGTGTGTGTGTGTGTCTGTCTGTGTGTGTGTAGGGGTTGATGATGGAGAGGACATCCCTCGTGAGATGCTGATTGGTATCTATGAACGGATCAGGAAGCGTGAACTCAGGACTAACGAGGACCACGTGTCACAGGTGCAGAAAGTGGAGAAACTCATCGTTGGGAAGAAGCCGGTGAGTGACCTCACCACATCTGCTACACTTCACCATCATCCATCTGGAGCTGTTCATCGCTGTTCATCACTTAAGCTCTTAAAGTGATGGTTCAGCTAATACTCTAATTTTCCCCTTTATCCTAGATTTATTCCATAAGTAAAGACGTTTGGTTTGCTTCTTTAGGTATATGAAGCTACAAAGTTGTAGCTAACAAGTAATGGAAGTGTCAAAGCTGCCTGACATGCTTTTTCTATAAAAATGAGCAAATATGTGGAAAAAACGTACACTTCAAGATGGTTTTTAGCATTGTTTTTAGCTATTCTACGTACCTTTGTCTGTTTTTATAGATAACAGTGTGCCATACTGTGTCAGAAACCACATAAGCATGTACGTTTGAGATTACTTAAGGTCTCTGTGTAGTTTGAGGCAAATGCAATATCAGTACTTAGTAGCTACACTAGCCTTGTAGTGTCAGTACAAACCTAAAGCAAACATGGTACAGTAAAAATGTCTTGGCTGCTTGGCCTGTTTGGAGTTTTTTTTGTTCAAAAAGCTTACGGAGACACAGCACATCTCTACTAGTGATATAGGATCCATATCTTACTCATAGTCCTAAAAGACTGACAGGCAATATTATTTACACAAAGATGCCATAAGAGTAAGGTCAGAGTGGCTTCTTTATCTGCTCTACTAATGCCTCTGCCGTGGGACAGATATATAACCTGCCATCTTTAGACCTTCATGGTCTCTGCCTCTGGTTTGTGTGTGTATATGTGTAGTCCTTGGAAAGTCAGGCCGCATGACTTTGCTTGATGCTCTCTGCAGTAGTAGTAAATAGGATTAGCTTGTCCAGAGAGGCCAGCAAAGCCACTCTGAGATCAGCGCTGATCTACTGAAAGCTCTTCCTCCGCTTTGCCACTGTGGCACAGGGCAAAGTTAAGTTGTCCGTCATGGCATGTGAGGAAGATTCTGTCAAAAACTTAATCATCCGCACATTGTTTTTACAACAGGGAACCTCAGCCTTGTCATCTTCTGGTGGACAAGGGTGATATGACATGATATTGTCATTAAGATCCTAAAATCTGTTAGCTTTGTCTAACTATGCATTACCTATCAAATTTAGCTTTTATTAAAAAATATCAACAGAACATATGTTAATTTTGTTCAAAAGTAAATTTATAAGAAAGTAATTCTGAACAGATTGTGCTGGCACAAGTTCATTGTTTTAAAGAGCGAGAGATGTAGGAATGGAAGCAGAACAAGAAAAGAGAACTGACAGAAAGAGAGGAAACCAGTTTTGGGAAGTTTAAAGCTTATCCAATTGACCTATCCATGTTCCACACAAAACTGCATTCATTCATAACTACTATTGTATGATTGACAAGCTTGACAGAACTTTGGCAAAAAATCCTGTTTTACTGTTTTTGACTAAATAGATATACTTTGAGTTATTCATTTAAAATAATATTTATTTTGTGTATGAACACTTTTAGTATAGATGGGGTCAAAATCTTTGTCATATTCCTTGGAATAGGATGAAGTGGTACAGATCCAGATATGCAGATAAGTGCCTTCAAGTCCTTATTTTTCCTCAGCCATAGTCCAACTATAAAAAATGTCTGTTGTGGATAGAACTCTACAAAAGATCACAAATTAATAACACTCAATGTATGGATTTTGAAGAAGAAACTGCAGTGCGTGCTACAGTTTCTCTTTGGGTTGAATGGAATTTTTGCCATTGTTCTGTAAATTTGTCCAGCCTTAAACTGGTATAGCGTACTTTTAGCACTATTTTAGCACAAAAGAACTCATTTGTGGGTAGAGCAGGAATAAGTCAATTGTCTTGAGGGTAAATGTGCTTCAAATCATCCGATTTCAGAAAAAAAGGTGACTGACTGATCCTCTCTGATTAGTCTAATATTTTCAGGAAGGTATGAGTGGCCAAAAGATGGGGTGTAAAACTGTAGACTTGAATCTTGCTTAATTTCTAAAATATATAGTGTTTATACAATATTAATTATAATACTAATACTGATGTGTACTAATACTGATGTGTACTGATCAGTGTGTGTGTGTGTTTTTGTTTTTTTTTGTTTTTTTTTTCCAATTATTGATGCTAGATACATTAAGTAGCCTCTAATCTTTGTTTTTCTGCTCATTTGTTGTTACCAGCCCACTATGGAGAACATAGTCCATTATGATGCTTTTGATGATTTCATATAGATACGCCCCTTTTTGTGATCGAATTATTTTATTTTCTGTTAATCAAGCAGCTCTTTATCACAATAATAATCCCCTAAAACAATCCCCTTTTTTACCCATCCCTCCCTGATATAGACAGGTCCTCTAAGGTTGAGATTAAATGCATGTGTATTGATGCTAGCGTCTCGCTCACCCAATCTATCAGCCGTCCTCTTAGAATGGAATTTTAACATCTTGCTAATTTCATTACCACTGCTAGCATCTGCTATGCACTCCATCTTCAGCCACTACAGGCCTGGGGACAGTAATAATTACCATTTAAGCTTTAATGGAAAGTGCATGCATGACTTGCAGTGACACGCAGCCTTGTCCCTCATGAGCCTTTGCCTTTAACACCACGGGGCCTCAGAGGAGACGCTAATGCGGGCTCCTGTAGAGCTGAAATGAAGGAACCACACTGAGGCCCCCTGCCTGCAGTGGCTGTCACTGCTGTAATTAAACTCTGGCTAACTGAGACTTCCTGGTGCAGCAAAGCACAGTAGCTTTTCTCCTCATTATAACCTCACTCAGACAACAAGAGAGACATATGCTGCCTGTCAAAAGTTTGTGGACACCTTGTCTTCTTTTGAAATTTGAACTTTTTAAACTTTTCAGCAAGAAAGTATTCACTGCAAATATTTTGCTAGCATAAAACAGCTATTTGCTAATTCTTGCTTATATCACATCTACACACAGCTTCATGTTCATCAAAGTGTCCTCGTTGGTATTGGTTTTGTAAAACTCTTCAGGCACAACTGCGGTTTAAACACCTGAAAAGTTTAAGTGTGAATGAGTGCTAATATGACATTCTGCTTCTTGAGTCTTTCTCACACCTTCTCTCTGTATTTTGCCTGTCTGACCTCTTTGTTTTTTTTGTTTGTTTGTTTTTCAGATTGGCTCACTCCACCATGGCCTTGGATGTGTATGTATCTGTTTTCCTACTTTAGCTTTCTTTCACTGTTACTTGTGTTAAAGGTATTGTATACATCAATATTTTATGCAAAATGTATCCTGATTGATGTAGCAAAACTTTATAGAACCTATGTGGTCCTATTTATAAGATTTAATTATGTTTTATAAAAATTACTACTACTATTACTACTACTACTACTACTACTAATAATAATAATAATCTTTATTTATTTATTTACACTTTTCATACCTGTGGCAGCTCAAAGTGCTTTATAGACAGGTGATGAAGCTTATCAGTAATAAAAGAGATTATGAGTATTCAGTTAAAATCTTACAAGGCAAATACAAGGTCCACTTCAGGTTCTATTAAGTTATAAAGTCCAGTTTAGGTTCTATAAAACTATAAAGTCTATTTTAGGTTTAAGAAAACTGTAAGGTCCAGTTTAGGTTCCATAGAGTTATAAAAAGTCCAATTGAGCTTCCATAAAGCTGTATGGTCTAATTTATGTTCTGTAAACTAATAGGGTCTAATTAGGTACTGTAAAGCTGTAAGGTCCAATTTAGGTTCTGTAAAAGTGTAAGGTCCAATTTAGGTTGTATAAAGCTGTAAGGTCCAGTTTAGGTTCTATAGAGCTGTAAAGTCCTGTTTTGGTTCTATAACACTGTAAGGTTCAGTGTAGATTCTGAAAAGTCATAAAGTCCAATTTAGGTTCTATAAAGTTATAATTTCCAATTTAGGTTCTATAAAGATAAAAGGTCTAGTTTAGGCTCTATAAAGCTGAAAGGTCCAGTTTAGGAACTATAAAGCTGTGAAGTTCAATTTGGGTTCTCTGTGAGGTCCGGGTTCTTGTTCTATTAAGCTGTAGGCTCCAATTTAGGTTCTAAAATGTTATGACATTCAGTTTAGGTTCTCAAAAGATATGAGGTCCAGTTTAGGTTCTGTGAAGCTGTAAGGTCCAAGTTTCGCTATATAAAGCTATAACAACTCATCTGAAATCAGAATAACCTGTGTTTATTAACAACCCATAGTTCCCCTTGATTTTATAACTGAATTCATTAGGATTTCTGTATCACCTGAAGGGGCTGCTTTTCTCCATTTTGATAAATGTGGGTTGTGTATGTTCTTTTCTTGTAGGTTCTTTCTCTACCCCACCGCAGGCTGGTATGTTACTGCCGACTGTTTGAGGTGCCCGACCCAAACAAGCCTCAGAAACTTGGCCTCCATCAGAGAGAAATCTTCCTCTTCAATGACCTCCTGGTGGTAAGAACAGCCTGTTTGTACCGTTTCTGCCTCATTAGTGCAGGCAGGAGTTAGATAAGACTAGTTCTGAATGTTCAGCTCAATTATGAAGTTGTTTCTAATGTGGGACGCCCACTGGCTGACATAACCAGCAACAATAGGGCTGATTTGCCCAAACTGTGAAAGTGACCTTTGAAAAAATACTCTCAGTGCATCAAAAGGCAGCCAAGTTAAAATAAAACATACTGTTTTAGCCATTGTGCTAGATTTGTATGTTAGATTTATTTAGTAGTTCTTAAAAATTACATTTAAGACAACATATATATAGTCATTTCTTAGATTTACAATTGTTAAAAACACATTATAAAACAGAGTTTCAGTTCTAAAGTCTGATTGGTCTACAAACTTTGCTTGGCAAAAGAATAATTTATATTAGAATTATGAAGACTGTGGTTAGTTGTAGCGCTACCAATTGCTCCAGTCAGTACCAAGCTACAATGATGTAATTTACTGTGCTCAGGCTTAGGTGTGGCCTCTTGCAAAAAGAGAACAGAACAGTCACATCCTTTTTAACTTTATAATCAAAAGTCTTTTGAAGATATCAAGGTAAATTTTAAAATCAAAATTATGAAACCAAAAAAGGCTTTTTTTTTATCACTGTCTAGTTGATTATCAGTTAGCGAGGTTAATGTGCTAAAGTTTTTAGCTAGCAGATCAGATTTTATCATGGCTTGCAGTGTGGAATTAGTTGTAGCACTGTTACAAATATAGTTACTCCACAATATTAGCCGTGATTAAACAATGTCGTAACTGTCAATCAGTTTGAATGTCTTAGCTTGTGCCCCTGTGAAAATGCAAATCAAACCTAATTCAATCTGAACACTTTCAATTTGTTGTTTTTGATCAGTTTCTTCTTGTTCACTTTATCACACACTACATTTTACACTAAGTATAGCCTCAACACTACTTACATTTTCATAGTTTTATGTGTTCTAGAAATAGGACAGTTACCAGTAAAGAAATCTGTCGCTAGATATGCCATTTTTTCCATAAACGAGTTTTCAGATTAAATTCATTTCATGATATTTTCATCTGCTATTTTATGGAGTTATGGAATAACTGAAGTTTAGGGGAAGAACCGTGCCTGAAACCTCTCCTCCTTCCAATTTAACGCTCTATAAATTAGCATTTCTACCTTTCATTTTCCCATGACAAAGTTTTTGTGACCCCACCACCCCATCTCCTCCTCGTTCCTCATTTCTGTCGGTCTCACCACCGCCCAAAGGGGAGTTCTGCCTTCTGGCTCCAAGCAGAAGCGGTCCAGAGCTCTAGACCAAGTTCTCAGAGTTCTCGCCCATACATTCAAGGCACGTTCCGAACTCGCAAAATTCTGGATTTACTAAATACTTTGCAATGTGGAATAAAACATGAAAGTTTCTACATATGTTATCAGGTGTGGAACTCCATCCATGCCTGTCAGCTGTTATTTGATAAGACTGTCCTTCACACACTGCCAAATGTATGCACCCACTCCAAAATGCTGTCTAGCACTGAAGGTTGTTTTTGTGCAAATAAAGAACATTTACTGTATAATGGACAAATAGTGAATATATATCGTTATATCCATCACAGCATTAGTTAATTGAGATGTTACATTTGACCCCATACCTTGTTACAACTGACCTCATGGGTGTGAACATTTCACAATGAACGGAGCAATAGAAGGGGTTCTTGAACAGCAATGATATATTATTATTTTTAAATAATTGTTACATAATTATTATTTTTAAAAACATTGTGTAATTTATTATATTATATTTGGTCAGCATTTTAAATAAGATTTTGCATAAGAACCGTGACGCTTTTAGTCATCTGGGCCATTCTGTTGACATTCAAGTGTTTTGCACTCTCACTTACTCTGTCTTTCCAAAAGCCTATATATTTAGTGAATGGGGGAGGCTGCTTAGTTCTATGGTGTGGAGAGTCATCTCCTGAGGATAAGCAGCAGCAGATGGGCTCCTGAATTGTCTGCCACGTTTCTGATTCAGGTCACCAAGATTTTCCAAAAGAAGAAGAACTCTGTGACATACAGCTTCAGGCAGTCCTTCTCACTGTATGGCATGCAGGTGCTGCTTTTCGAGAACCAGTGTAAGTCACACTCCAAACTGTCTTATCCTGTGTATTTATTGTATTTTGTTGTTTACTTAGAAGCAAAAGCACCCTATAACGTTTATATGATACACATTCTAGTTCTAATGCATTATAGAAAGTGTAGTGAATTCAGCATTTTTTATGCTGGTAATGTTGTTCTTAAGGCCTTTGACATCAGATTTGATGTCATTATTGCCATCTACTGGGCTCGCATACTCTTGTCTTCAAATTGTTTTTATGGTCCCATGCGGATGGAGAGATTTTGTGGTTGGTGTAAGCAGGGATTGACTGATTGATTGATTGACTGATTGACTGAAAGGGGAAAAATAGTTTTCCAGAAATATCTTTGTGTGTGGACAAGGCCTAAATTTGCCCCTGCTCTTTTCCAGATTACCCCAATGGCGTCCGGCTCACCTCGGCCATCCCAGGTGCTGACATCAAAGTTCTGATCAACTTCAACGCTCCGAACCCACAGGACCGCAAGAAATTCACAGACGACCTACGGGAGTCCATCGCTGAGGTGCAAGAGATGGAGAAGTACAGGATCGAGTGTAAGGCTCTTTTTCTGCTTTTCCTTGCCCTTCATTACCTCATCACTCATCAGTCTTCTCCAGAGACTCATGCACTAGTAGGATGTGAACTTCTGAACTCTCAGGCTTTTTTCCTCTTGCTTTTCTTCTTTTTTGTGCAGCTGTGTTCCGTTTTAATGACTTCAGCATGTGTCTTGCTGGTCTTGGTCCACTGCAGTGTTTTCACTGGCTTTTCTTTTAGCTAAATACAAACTAGATCCAGAAGTGTTATAGTAAGACAGTAGGATGTTTCTTGAAGAGTGGATTTGATCAGATACTGGTGATTAATGACATAATTCAGTAGTAAGAATACAGTTTGCACATTACTGTTTTATTACTATATATGTGTGTTTTTACATATACTTTCAAAATAAATACAGCGTGAAAGTTCAAAGTAATTCAGTGTAGAGAATGCCACCAAATGGAATTCCACTGATTTTTAAAACAAATTTTTTACTTTTTTTTTTCTTCTTGCATTTATTTTAAATGTTGGTGTGAGTACAATATGTATGCTGTTCCATGCAGCTGAGCTGGAGAAGCAGAAAGGCGTGGTCCGGCCCAGCATCTCCCAGAGTTCTGGGCTGAAGAAGGAAGCAGGGAATGGTAATCTAAGCCGCGGCAGCCTGGACGACAGCTATGCCATAGGGGAGGGCCTGAAGAGGAGCGCCCTCAGTAGCTCCTTACGCGACCTTTCAGATGCAGGTGAGGTCACAGGTCACCTCTTCTAAGGAGCGCACTTTATTAATTGTTTATTTGTTTACAGTTAAGGATCACAGGCCAAACAGTTAACTATGAAACAGTAGAGATGTGCAGATAATGAGACATTATCTTTGATAGTGCTATATCAGTGACACTATATGGTATATAATTTGACCTGGCTATTAAGCACTTAGGAAAGGTGTAGCTTAGTAAACTGAATATAATATCAAAGTGGAGAGTCAACTTCTTACTTTTAATGAGTGAAATTCATTTTAGAAGTAGATTTTCTTGGTCTTGCTGAGAATGATCTCAAATGTACGCCTCATCTGAACAATACCAGCCCAACATTATCCATTTGCAGACCTAAAAAGCCAGCAGCAGTTCTACACTTGTAGTTTCAGAGCATACCATGGATTTAGGTATGTCCTAAGCATTTTGGTAGAGATTGCAAGATACCACTTTTTATAAAGCGATACTGTTAATACTGATATACATATATCGGTTGATGCTCAAGGTTTTTTAGGATAAGTTTGTTACAGGATTGGATTGTAATTCATATTTTTTTTTCCTCCAATACCGATCTAGCATTTTCTGCTGTAATTATTCCAGTACAGATACCTGGTTGGACCACTTGTTTGTAGCTAAAGTTATCAGCTAGCTATCTAGGCCAAATAGCTAATCTAATTCTTAACTGTTATTTGAATTAAGGCAATTTGAATAACATAAATGTGAGGTGTCCACGTCTTACTTTTAATGAGTACAAATTAATTTTAGAAGTAGATCAACGCTGCACTGTTGTTCTAGGTCTTGCTAAGACGTGCCAAGTAGCTAGCTTAATAACTTACTAGCATATGTATCATGGTGAATGTATACTGCCCTGTACAAATAGAACCCAAAATTATGATAGATATTTCATTAACCAAAAAGACACACAGTTAACTAGGCAGCTAAAATGAAGTCGTTACTTCCAAGCTTTAAAATTGTCAGTCAAACTACAATAAAATTATCTGAACAGTCGTGGCTAATTTTTATTCTGCATGATTTAGTAGTTGCTTGTCTATGAAATGACCAAAAGCTATTAAGGAATATCACAAACTTATAACATATGCCACAACATTAATGGACACAAGTCTAAAGACATATAATGCCCTGAAACTGCAGATCTGTCACTGCTGCTGACTGTCTGGGTCTGCAGTTCAGAAGCAATTGCCTTCTCTGCAGCCAGTCTTGCACTTAGTTTCAAGCTGCATGCTGGCATGATAATCACTGCCCAGTAGAAACACAAAGGTGTGAACTAGTGCTAGCAGGGGCTTTTCTGTTAGCGCAGCCAAAACACAATATAGCCATGCAGCCAGAGAGCAGGAAGTGCTTAATTCAGGAGACACTGGGTTTGCAAATGTGTATGTGAACAACATGGAGTGCAGATGTAAAGCTCCAGCCCCAGTGGAGGTGACAATAAGGTTCCTTTGCTTACTAGGGACTACTGTGTTCCTAATAATGGCTTATTAACATTAGCACTAAGCACATGGATTACGAATAAATAGTCTGTCTGCTTAAGAAAATAACAAAGTAGTGTGATTGTAAGCAAGAAAATGGAGGAAAACAAAGACTTTGTTTGGGTTGCCACATTTAAAGGAAAATGAAAGAAGATGAATATATATAAAGGAGCCATTATAGGAGTCTTTAATGCAGAAATCCAGATCATTCCAAAGGGTTCACTGACTTTTTTTCTTGGAACTATAATGCTGAATTGAACTATCCATGCCCTGCCTGCAAAATGTGTTTTTCTTAGCATCTGTTGCAAGCTCAGGCAAGTTAAACAGACCTTAAGCAAATATCATTCAAACCATCCTTTGCTAGGGGTCCAAGAGAGCAGAACTGACCTTGTTTTGTCTTTTGGGGGGTTAGATGGCTCTACCTGCTGACGTAACGGAATCTTTATTGACAGTGAGTTAGCAGCAGTTCAGTAAGATGTGGTGGTGCCTTACATGCCTTCACATGTAATCATGTGCTAGCCTTCATCCTCCCAGTTCATCTTGTGAATTCATAAAGCAAATCTCATTCAAAGTAATGACGAGTTTGGAGATATAGTCACTATATGATGAATTTCCAATAAAACGCTGGATGAGCAGGTGTCTACAAACTTTTGGACATACAATTTAAGGGTATATGTAATCCATATGGGTTTATAACTCTAGATTACTTTTTTTAATATAGCTTGCATTACAAAGAATTGTTGAGTTGGTTCTAGAAGGTACTTTTACGTATAGTGTAGGAGTATAGCGTCATTGTCAGAACAAAACCTTCCATCGCCATAAAAGCATTTTTTTAACTTAACATGTTAATGTAAAAATGTAAACAAAAAAAACATTTTAGCTTGGTTTAATAATGTTAATTGAGAAAAAAAACATCTACCATAACAGTGTGACCTTTCACACTCATGTAAAATAAATATAATTTGGAATTAATAACCGCTTGAATTTAAGTATTTTGTTGTATGCTACAGTTTGTCACAAGGCTGAATAGTATTTTGCTCTGTAAAGATTGGAAAGTCTCTCTACAGTTGCTACAAAAAAGGCATTTGTGGGCAGAGCATGGGTAGGTCAATCAAATCCTTCCAGTCCATTACCTAATTAAAATAACATCTTTCCTTTGTCCTATTGTCATTTCCCTTTCTAGCTTCATATACTGTAATACTGTTAGGTAAGGTACACCTACAGTCATTTTAAAGGCTCCCATTAGGTGGCAGACAGTAGCAGCTGCCCTTTATATCATGCTAGGTTAGAGAAGTGCTAGAAAGTGCTAGTGCTAGTTCTTCCTTTTCTACCCTCTCAACCCAGGCGACCCCTATCCATCTAACCCCCCCCGTCCCCCCGTCCTTCCTTCCACACCTCGTACACCTGTTGTGCTAGCGGCTTGTTGTGTGTCGTCCCTTCATTAGCGTCCCCTATAGGCAGGCAGTCTGTCTGCTGCTCTATCTATCACGCTGTGGTGTGATTTTGAGCGTTACTCTGATCTATCGCATGTCCCGCTCAGGCAAGCGCGGCCGCCGCAGCAGTGCGGGATCTCTAGACAGCAATATGGACGTAAGTACCGTACCGTAGGGCGCATCCTGTCAATCAAACCGCCGCTCGCCGCTCCTCCTAGCAACACGTTGCATTGTGAAAAGGGGGGGTACTTCACAAGGCAGGATTTTTCAGTTAGATAATGTTTGCGTAAAAAGTCAAGGATGTCCAATAGAAGTACATTCTTATTGGACATTCCTCACTTTGGGATCAAATTAGCCATCTAACTGTTAACCGGAAAATGTTGCTTTATGATATACCCTCCTATCTCTTTGTCTCTTTGGGTTGTTCTTTTGCTTTATAGTTTTAAAGAGATTATTCAGCCAAAAATCAAACTGACATCATTTTCCTCCTTACTCCAAAATGCTCTTGATCTGCCAGCATCAAGACTGGTGTCTGACGTTTGCTTCTTTAGCTTTGCGCTGGAGCTTCAAGGCCAGACTGATGTAGCTAATGAAAGTGTCCAGTTAACATCTGCAAACAGCATGCCTAAAATGCATAGAGTTTTTAAGTAATCTCAAATAAACATGCTTTTTGTGGCTATTTTGCTGCAGAATGTCATTCATCTAGTTTCAATCACCACCAATGTGGACAATTCTGACCCACAAAGTTTCTCTAGAATGGATAATTTTACATCAAACCACTCTGAATTACTTATTTTACATCTTAAAGAGTTATTTATGCAGAATTTTGAAAAATTGATGGAATTCCCTTTTAAGCATGCAGTTTGTACAATACGAATTGTTAGCTACATCAGCATCATGGATCCAGTACAAAACTACAGAAGCAAGTTTCAGACACTACACAATCTTGGCTGTGTAAATTGTTTTTTTGGCTGAACATTTGCTTCAAGTTCTTTCTTTTAGTGGTGTTTGTGGCAATAGAGTTGGATTCACTGCATGAGCTACTCTTCCTCCGATGTAGTCTGTGCTGGATTATGGAATGGGGCTTTTCCCTTTGGATTGCATTACTCCTCTTAACTTTGATGCATTTACATTAGCTGGCATGATGCTACTAATTTGTGCACTTTCTCCTTTGAAGGCCAAGTATGCAGGTCTGGCATGTTTTTTTTTTTTGTGATACAGTTTCAGCTCTTTTCATTCACGTAACTGTGGTGCAAGTGAATACTGGTTTGTTCTGATGTCGAAAAGAAACAATCCCTCCATTTCCTCTCCAGCCTTGACCCTATGCACCTTTTCCTCTCCAGCCCAAAGCACCTCTTTTTTTAAGCACAGAATATTGAATAATACAGGAATAGTTATATTTCATTCATCGTTGATTAAGACTGATGAGTAATGTATAGCTTAGTTTACAGGATTAAAGTTAAGCAATTTTAGTAGCTCAAACCCTTTCAGTTTGTCCGTTAGCTATTTGAATTACACAAAGGACAGAGGTGCCCACATGTTAGTGCAGCATTACAGAAAAATATTCCGCAATAATAGTTTCTGTTCACTAACTTGATCTTGCCTGTTTGAGCTTTTGCATGGAATGCATGGCAAATCCAGTCTCCACTCTGTTCTAGTCATTGACTCTGGCAGCTGAAGGATTGTTAGCGCGGTGTTTCCTGAATGCTGTAATGTGCAATGAAAAATGTGAAATCCATGTCGTATTGCATTGCTTGTGACTTTATTGGAATTTTCTGTTTGCACTGCAACTAAAGCATTTAAAAATGCATTATGCCTAGTACAATGAATTACCTTTCTGGGACAAATCATGTTCAGACATACAGTATATGTCAAAGTTTGTAGACACTTCTTTAATTAGTGAACTCAGCTACTGCACCCTGCTAGTAGGGATGCTCTGGAGCAGCTACTTAAGACCTCCAAGCCCAATGCCATGCATCAGCTGGAGTGGTGTAAACCCCCCCAACATTGGGCTGTGGAGCAGTGGAAATGCATTCTCTGTAGCGCTAGAGCTCCATCTACCATCCACCTTTGGGTTAAATTGGAGTGGCGAATTATGTTTAACATCCAGAGCTAATCATCCAGCCTCAGTACCTTGCCTCACTAATGCTCACATAGCTGAATGGAATCACAATTTCACAGCAATGCTATGACTTCGTAAAGCCTCCCCAGAACAGCAGAGGCTATTACTGTATCAAAGGGGGAAAAACTATATTAATACCATTTCAGAAGAAATGCTGGATGAGCAGGTGTCTACAAACTTTTGGACATGTAGTGTAAGGGTATATGTAACCTGTGTGAGTTTATAACTTTAGGTGACTTTTTCATATAACTTGTATTACAAAGAATTGTTGAGCATGAATGTAGTTTTCTAGTCCAGAGTGACTTTAGACCTGGAGGGCCACAGCACTGTAAACTTTAGTGCGTTCTCTGACTCAGCTAACCAGTTAATTAAAAGCCCTTTGAGGCATAGTTTGGCAATTTACACAATTTCCCCCTTGCTGTAATTGTAGTTAAGCAGCAAAGACATTTTGGTGTCTGTCCTGTGTTTTGTCCAATTATCCTCAAATCAGATACGTTACACTCTTCACACACGAATATAGACAGTTATGGTATTTACAAATGACTATAAACAAACTACATGTAAGATATTGAGATGCAGACTGTACTGTTCTGCTCTACTAAGTCCATATCCAGCTTGAGCGCCTGGTAGGTGGGAAACAAATCTTTATTTCTTATACATGTGGAACACTAGTCTGTTCATATAGCATCAGTTTAAATCAAGGAACTGTTAAGCAATAGTACCCACTTCTCTCCCATTCCCCCAAATGTAGTAAAGCCGAGACGTTTGGTGGTTTAAGTTTGCTTCTACAGTTTTGCACTGGTGCTACAAGGCTAACGTTGCTAACAAGTAATGGAAGCTAATACACTAACTAGCATCATGCAGACTACATGCCTAAATCATCACACAATTGCCTCAAACTGCATTAAGTTGTCAGGTAATCTCAAATAGACTTGCGTATGTGGTTTCTGACACTTACTGTTATCTATAAAAATTGACAAAAGTACATCACACAGCTAAAAACAGTAGCAGCCTGAATTTTGTCTGTACCTTTGTTCATTTAAAAATGGTGGAAACTTAATTTATTTAATGGAACTACTCCCAAAATTGGGTAAACAGCAAAAGTGCTTTGTCCCCGCCCAGGTCTGGAGTTGTATATTCAGCTTTAGTCTATGTGCAGTCATATGCAAAAGTTGGGCGCCCCTGCTCAAATTATGTTTTGTGGAAATATGTTAACACATCCTCTACAGAGACACTTGTTCTGCATATTTTAATTACTGTTTATTTGCTGAATTTAACATATTGGGAAAATATACATAAATGTGGCCTGTGCAAAAGTTATGGCACATCTTACATTTAGGGTTATATATATTTTTGTTCCCTGTAGAAGATCTGTTAACTTAAAATTTCACTTAAAAAATCAACAAAACATGTAATTTGACAAGAAGTGTTCACACTTTTCTGTATGACTGTATGTAGCAGTTATATGCCATGTATTGCAGGAGTGTTTTTCTGGTTTTATGGTCTGATGTAACTCTGTGTTAACCCCCCCTTGCAGGGCTCCATCATTAGCAGCCCCCACATGCGGCGCCGGGCTGCCTCCAGCCGAGACTGTCCATCACGCCAGCAGTCCATCCCCAGCTCCTCCTCCTCTTTGCTGGGGTCACTCTTTGGCACCAAACGGGGCAAATCCCCGCTGCCCCCTCAGCCCCCACACCCGTCCCACCCCACCCTCATCTCACACACACCCCACCCATCCAACCTGCACCACACAGCTCGTGAAAACATCACAGAGACTCAGGCACAGATCCACCCACACCACGGCCAGTTCTGCCACATGCAGCAAAACCCGCCTCCGTACCACCATCATCACCACTACCACCCTCCGGCACACATTCAGCACCAATTCCACCCGCCATCGGGCCACTCACATGGGTCTCATGCCCACGGGTCACACTCTCAACACTCCCAGCATGCCCAGCACCACCATACCCCGGCTCAACCCCCTGCACCCCCTGCTGGCACCGCCAAGCCCAAACACAGCGGCATCAGCACGGTGGTGTGAAACGAAACTTTCTGGGACTCAGCGGGACTCAGTGGGACTCACGGGGATTCTGTGGAATTCTATGGAACTCTGTCGTATTCTGTGGGATTCTATGGATCTCTATGGGATTCTGTGGGTCTCAGTAGGATTCTGTGGGTCTTTGAGGGATTCTAGGGATCTCTGTGGGATTCTGTGGGTCTCTCTGGGTCTCTATGGCTCTCTGTGGGATTCCTTGAGACTCTGTGGGATTGTATTTTTCTCTATGGGTCTCTGTGGGATTCTTTGGGACCCTTTGGAACTTTATTAGTCTTGTGGAACTGAGATTGTCAAAGGCAGGGAGTGTGGAGGCAGCTTTGGTGGACTTCCTGTCTAGCTGGCATGTGAAAGATTGTGTATTTTTGCAATAGACTGTGTGGATGGAACCGACCAGGGAATGAGAACAAAACAAAAGGCAACATGACTCGTTTTCATTTTCATTTTCAGAGCCTCTCTCCACTGGGACGAAAAAAGGAGAGTGAGAGAGAATGGGGCACACTGTGTAGCATTAGCATTAGCACTAGCACTGGCCTTCTCTTCCAGGCATTTTAGAGGGCTGATAGACCCTCCCTGTGGGTTTTGGGTTTCCACCTCCATCTATCTCTACACTTTCCATTGATCAATCACTGCTCAAGCTCCAGGCAAAGCTGCTTTTTTTTGTCCTCTCAAGGATTAATCTATACTCTCTTTTTTTGGACTTTTAGCACCTGGATACGTATCCAAACCCTCACTGAAACCCAACATGGAAGCAAACGCATGCACAATGACCATGGCTACTGTTTTATCTTGTACTTAATTGCTTACGAAGTGTTATAAAATATCCTGCTTTACAGTAATTTGCAGAAACAAAGTCTTGGTAGAACAGACATGCCTTGAAACGATGTGGTTTAAACATGATGGTCAACAACAACCTAGCCATGAAGTCGGTCACAAAAGTGTTTAAATATTTAATGTAGCTGTAGACCACGATTCTCTGTGATATAGTTAGCGGTCTTTAATGTGCCAATTATTAAAAAGCAGTAACTGAGTTAGTCAAAAATGCTTTGTGTATGTCGTGCATATAGTATTTTGTAAAATAATAATAATAATAATAATAATATTAATAATAATATTATCATCAACAGTTAATATTATTGTTATAGAACAAAATGCGTCCGAGGCGTCAGCTAAATATCTCAGTATTATACTCTTGAAGTAGAATGACCTAGACTCACTATAATAAAACTTCAATGCGTTTAAGTAGGTGGGCAAGTAAATGACCTGGAATTTTCTCTGGTTGCCTTTGAAACTCTTTGGAAGATTCGGGAATGCACAATACGGAATCTTCCAGTCCGGCAGAACTGTGTTTACTGCATCAATTAGAAGTCTGTGTACTTACAGCTAGTCAATCAGGAGGAAGAAAAACAAGAGGTTAGGGAAAGGGGTTAGGGACGGCTAGCTGGTCTCCGAGCAAACTGATCCAGATCCTCCTTAGGCCTGGACTGGCAAGTCGTGGCTACTAGCGCACCACGGTTTTATTTTTTTAACTATTTTTTTAGAGACAAATAAAAACACTATGAAATAAACTGTACATTTAGAGATGTTTATGGTAGAGCTGATTTGATGGAGGAGGCTATTTTGGAAATAACACATTTTGTTCAAGGGGTCGTAGAATTTTTCAGTTATTTGGGGTTTCAAAGCAGTTGACTGAACTTTTTTCCGCCCATATTTAATAAGTTTGCTTTTTTTTTTCTCTCTCTCTCTCAGTGGGCTGAGTGAGTGTGTCCCGTTTGGCGTGTGTGTGCTGTTCCTAGCGGTTCTTCGGACCGAGTGGACCCAAATAGACCTGCTACAAGTCCTGGTTGTTTGTGTTTTTTGTATTTACGAATGCCTTTCACTTGCTCACAAACGTGGTTAACTAACATGTTCTGGGAGTGACATGCAGCGGAGGTGGAGACACGTGCTTTTTCACCGTAGGAAAAAAGAAAAAAAAAAAGAACAGAGAGGCTTTAACCGTATTTTTCCACACATATCTCGACTTTTGTTGACCTTTTCTACCTTTTCTTTATGCTGTGTGCTGTGTATAATAGAAGGGAGCAGTCAGGTTATGATTTGATTGATGCTATTTTTTAGCTCAGATACGGAGGGTTTGATTAGCACTTGTCATTTTGTAAGTATTCATTCATGTACAGTAACTATGGTTTGAATTTACTGATCTGAGACCAGTGTCTGCAGTGAAGAGGTTTGCTTTGCGAGCGTTCTTTCTTTTTCTGTTCCATTCTGTTTTTTTGTTTGTTTTGGATTGGTTTTGTTGTTTTTCTTTTTGTACTAATCGTATGTGCAATATGTATGTTTCAGTTTTGTAAATGAACAGTTGCGATCTAATGGCTGGTCTTTCTTTTTATTATTATTATTATTATCATAATTGTCCTTGTCTTTATTTCTTGGCACCCCCCTGGCCTCAGTCACTGTAGACCCTCCCCCCTCAGTGTTTTGTCGTCCGTCTCTCTGTTCTAGCGACTTGCGGTGAGGAATATCAAACTAAAAGTACTCTTGCATGTAACATTATATTGTAAGGATATTCTCTAAATATTGTATATTCCCAGAAATATTATTATTATTATCAGTGTTACAGTTGACTGTTGTTGAAATTTAAGTGACGATACGCATTAAAAGTATGTAGAATTCTCTTCATGCGACTCATGGACGTCCGTCTGTCACATTTTGTACCAGAAGAGGTTCAGCTAGATGACATGAATAGAAAAGCAGCTGTAGAGCAAAGTACACGTTGTGTAATTTTAGGCTTTAAATCAGACCATGCTTGTCAACTACTGTATAGAAGTTCTCTTATCCTGCTCTAGTTTAAATTAGAATTTCTAGCGATCAGTGGTGGTCATCAGCGCGAGATGTGATTAAAGCGGAGCACAAATCACTCTCTTATTATTAATATTATTATTAATACTGTTATTGGAGCTGAATGTTGCCCTGGAATCCGGGTTAGGTTCGCAATTTGCACATTGAGCAACCCTTCCGTTTTTTGCACAGGTTCCCAAGCCATGCCACAGTAAACATGTGAGGATCATAATACAATAGATTATACCACTACAATTGGAAGCGTCTTGAAAGGAATTTATTCTGGGACAAAAAAGGAAAAAAATTCATCAAGTGAGTGTCTCTGTACATTTTTTTTCCCAATCTTTTTTATGGAAGTTTATTTTCCAAAATTTAAGTTTCTGTCCAGTTTCCATGCAGTTACAGGGTGATACCCATAACGAATTGCATGCGATTGATTCTTGTCACCTCTGGTTTGAACTGTGAGCTAAATTAAACATCAGAAATGTTCTCTTCGTTTTATCGTTTATTTTGCTTGTGTCTGTTTTTTTGTTTGTTTTTTTTTTTGTTTTTTTAAAAGACATCAGCTTGCTCTTACATTTGATGCTGAAAGCATATATTCTACTCGTTTACCCATTGTAAAAGAAAAAAGACCTCATCATTGCACTTGTGTGTGTATGTGTGTCTGATGAAGACAATTGCTGTACATAAGACAAAATCAGTGTGAAGAAACAAATACAGCTTAAGAGCATATCTCAAGGAATTTAAAAGCGGATTTAAAAAGGGAATGGATGGGGGTGGGGCTAATAAAAATGTGTAAATATTCTGTATATTATTAGTAATTATTGTCATCCATTACAAGGTGCATTCCTCCAGTCTCCTTTAACAAGACATATTAACATACTTCTGCTACCAGATGCATTCAGTTTGGCTCAGCATCCTCTTCTGTAGCTACTACAAGCCGACTGTTACATGATTTTCACTGATTTCTGCTGTTTGTTCTGAGTTGCACCGCATTTCGCCACATGCGCATACACACACACACACACACAATGCAGCCTATTTTATAATTACCAGGCCAGGAGAGGAGGAGTTTTTCATTTTAATATGCATTCTGTTTCTAAGTAGATGACGAGACCCTGTTGATGTAAAATCTATAACTGTGACCATGTGGAGAACATGAAATAAAAATATACTGTCCAGATTCATAACTTGCTTATTTGTCTGTGTGGAATAATCCAATATAATGGTATGCCTTGGAATAATGTGTATCAAATGTATGCATGAATCTGTCTGATGTAGGTGGGCCATAAGGCTGGTGGTCAGAGTCACACTTGATAAAGGGTAAAGTTTACAGAGCATCAGTGCTTTCTGGGCTTCACTGGTTTTTAAATGGCCCATATAAAATTTTCATGCCTTTTTCAAATAAGAGTATGTGAGATGCTAATAAAAACAGAAAGCAGTGTTTAGTAGATACTTCTTGACCTGTATTAAATTTAAATCAGGAAAAAATAGAAGCATGTTTACCCCTGTGTTACATCACCTTTCCTCTTAACCCTAACAATTGGACTGAAGAGACAAACTGATCCAGTTTTCAAAAATATTTTTTTTGCCATTCTTTTATGTACAAGTTTTCAGCTTCACAACCATTTGGCCCTTTGGTGTTGTATTTTGCGTTTTATAATGCGCCACACGTTTTCAATGGCGGACAGATCCAGACTGCAGACACACCATTCGAACACCCTTTACTCTCTGATTATAAAGCCATGCTGTTGTAACACACAAAATGTGGCTTGGCATTATCATGCATAAACATGGACATCTCTGAAAAAGATGTCATCTAGAAGGCAGCACATCAGTATTAATGAAGCCTTCGCAGATGCAGGCTATCCATGCCATGACAGACTCTGCTTTTGAACTTTATGCTAGTAACAATTGGGATGGTTCTCTTTGGCTAGGAGAACATGACATCCCTTATTTCCATAAACAATCTGAAAGGTTGTCAAGTCACAATACACATTTACACTGTGCATCAGTCTGTTTCAGATGAGCTTAAGCTCAGAGAAATTGTTTCAATTAATGTTTTTTGAAATTTGGCATCAGCTGTGCATAGTACAGTCTTAACTTGCACTTGTGGATGCAAGATGAACAATGTTTATTGATGACAGCTATTTAAAGCATTCCTGAGCCCATGAGGTAATATGCATCACAGAGGCATGCTGGTTGGTAACGCAGTTCCATCTGAGGGATCTAAGGTCACCTGCATTCAGGGTTTTTTTGGCTGGACTCTTTACACACAGAGATCAAAATATTTTGATAATATTGCGCACCAAAGAGGGTGAAATGCCAAAAGTCCTTGCAATCTCTCATAGAGAATTATTGTTCTTGAACTGTTGGATTATTTGCTGACACATTTTTTGGCAAAGTGGTGAACCCTTCCTTGCCACTTCATTTAAATAGGAGAGAAAATCAGTAACTACCCTAATTGCTCCTTACTTTAGCTAATCATTACTTTATCATAGCACAGGGGTGCCCAATCCTGGTGCTGGATATCTACCAGAGTTTAGCTCCAACCCTATAACAAACTTGATCCAGATAATCAAGGCCTTCAGGGGCATCTGATCATATGAGCCAGGTGTGGATCTGAACTCCCCAGGGTGGTAGATCTCCAGGACCAGGATTGAGCACCACTGCGTTAGCGTAACAATGGAAGTGGGTATAGTATACTGATTCATATGCACTGACCATACGCAAAACTTTGAGTATCCCTGGTCAAATTACACATTTTGTTGATTGTCTAAGTGAAAATAATGACATCCTCTACTGAGAACACACTTTTTTATTGCATTCTCAAAAGTGTTTATTTGCTGAATTTAACATAATGGAAAAAATAAAACAAACTGTGTGCAAAAGTTATGGCAGAATTTTCATTTTGTTTATTTCCTTTATGTTGAATAGAAATTATGCACCAAAATTTGCAGAAAAATGCCTAGTTCCAATCACAATTCGAACTTCTTCAGAAGTTCTTGATTAGTCGGATGATTAGAGTTAGTAACATGGTTGGGATGTAATGGAATACAAGTATTAGGAATATGTATTCATAATACACAAATTACACGTCTGGATTCAGTCCAAGTTGAAATGAATGAAATGTATTTCAAGAAACAGAATAAATACATAAAGGAAACTGACAAACAGTAACAGTGATGAATAGTGTGGAAAAAAAGATTCCCAATATGTCTTTCCAAGATTTATTGTAAATGTCTTCTAAGTGTATTCTGAATACATTTTTTGTATTATAATGGAATATGTTACTGAATACATTTAGGACAGTGTATAGAATATTCGGGTACACTACATTTTGAAAATAAGATTGAAAATCTAAAACGTGAATTTCAGTGGTGTAGCGAGAAAGGGACGTCGTCTCTTCAATCAGTGACTGAACTTTTGTTATAAATAGAACAGTTTTTTGGCCGCATCCATTGTCAACATAAATGGCTTTGTCATTTTCATAGAAGCACCAGTAGAGTATATGAGAGATCTCCAAAGGTTTATAGACACCTGTTTCTTCTGAAATCAAAGGTATTAATAATTCCAGAGCATCCAATTCTATTGTAAGTGCTTTTTATATGGAGACAAGCTGTATCTGAAGGCCTGTGTCAGCAATGGGTGCAGTGTAAAGTGGCTGAATTATCACTATCACTGCTCAGAAGAGGTGTCTGGATACTTTTGGACATATGGTTTGAGATGGTCCTAGTGGGATATAATTATATGTACACTCACCAAGCACTTTATTAGGAACACCTCCTTGTATCTACACTCATTGTCCATTTTATCAGCTCCACTTACTATATAGGTGCACTTTGTGGTTCTACAATTACAGACTGTAGTCCATCTGTTTCTCTGCATACTTTGTTAGCCCCCTGTTCTTAAATGCTCAGGATCATTGTGTGTGTTGTGCTGGTATGAGAGGATCAGACACAACAGTGCTGCTGGAGTTTTCCAACACTGTATCCACTCACTGTCCACTCAATTAGACATACCTACCTTGTTCATCTTGTAGATGTAAAAGTCAGAGACAATAGCTCATCCGTTGCTGCACAGTTTGTGTTGGTCAACCACTAGTTCTTCATCAGTGGTCACAGGACGCTGCCCGCGGGATGCTGTTGGATGGATATATTTGCTTGGTGGACTGTTCTCAGTCCAACAGTGACACTGAGGTGTTTAAAAACTGTCTGATCCACTCATACCAGCGCAACACACTAACACACCACCACCACATCAATGTCACTGCAGTGCTGAGAATGATCCACCACCCACATAATACCTGCTCTGTGGGGGTCTTGTGGGAGTCCTGACCATTGAAAGAGCATGGTAAAAGGGGGCTAACAAAGTATGCAGAGAGACAGATGGACTACAGTCTGTAAATGTAGAACTACAAAGTGCTCCTATATAGTAAGTGGAGCTGATAAAATGGACAATGAGTGTAGAAACAAGGTAGGTGTAGCTAATGAAGTGCTTGGCGAGTGTTAGTGTGAGAATCTGGCAACCTCACTCTGGATTGCAGGCCTGGAGCTCACGCTCTTCTCTCGCTGCTGCCCTCTAGAGGTACAAAACATGAACTGCAATGACTTTTTTTAGGTTCATGTTGTCATCTCAGTGCGACTGAAACGGGTGAAAGGTAACAGCGGTGATACTGAAAGGAGACAGCGGGACACCCTGTTGTCAGCCAAGATGAATTTCGGTAAAATGTTTGTTTCTTCCAGGTCGGTAAAACTCGGTAAATGTTTACTCGCTTCTCCGGCGCGACGGTTAGCAGCCCCGCTTCAAACTCAGCGCTGCATGAGGACGAGTGTGAGGAGTTTAGCCTATGCTAAAGATCTGTTTCTGGGAAAGGTGAACAAGGTAAACGGACTAAAATCTTTAATTACAACAGCACGACACTTTATACAGTCTATATGTGTGTATTCCGTGTGTTGTGGTACTTTTCACTCACCAGTCACTTCATTACTGACACCTGGCGTGTAGCTCAACCTCGCTGCTGAAACGTAACGTAGAGACCGTTGATGCGCAACTTAAAATGCTTCGTAATTTTGTCTATTAAATCAGTTTTCTCTATTAGAGAAAACTGATTTATTATTTCTCGCCATTAGAGAGACCTGCTTGGGTTGCTTTTGCTGAAGCATGAAAATAGCAATGTCGTAAACAGTGCTGTTTTGTAGTGCTGGTCGATTTGATGGAGAGGAATTCGTGCCAAATTGAAAAGCAATCACTACAGTGGAAAAGCAGATCCTCTATTGGTCATACTTTATTTGGATGGACCCCTATAGATGCTCTACAGATACCTGAGCCATTAACAAACTTTCTGGTGACGTTGGGTTAGGGTTGGGAGTAGATGTAGGTTTTGCTTTGAGGTTAATGTCAGGGTTAGGTTTAGGGATAGATATAATAAACTCTTTCACACTGAACTTGAAGTTCATTTGCATGTGACGGATATTTATTTGGATGTTACTTAAAGACAGACTCAGCATTTACAAAGCATCTACAGTGGACCATCCAAATAGCACTCAGCTTCATGTTCAGTTGCATTTAATGGATATTTAGTTTAATGTTACATAATTATATACTGAGCAATTACAAAGCATCTACAGTGGACCATCCAAATAAAGTGTCAGCCCTCTATTACATTGTTTTCATGTCGCTTGACCTCTATACTGACCTCTGTTGCTGCTATCAAATTCAAAATGGGCACATGGGCATTAAAAAAAAAAAAAGAGAGATTTCTCGGTTTCAACATTTGATATGTTGTCTGTACTATTTTCAATGAAATATAGGGTTTAAATAATTTGCACGTCATTGGATTTTGTTTAATTTACATTTTGTACAGCATTTTGTACAACTTTTTTGGAAATGCGGTTGTATTTGACTCATTGAAGTGCAAACAAAACAGTGAAATGCACACATGAAATTGTATTTAAACAGTAACATGTACAAAAAATTTTTAAAAAAAGTAATAAAAATAAAAAGTAAAAGATCCGTTACATTGATTCAACATTGTTTAAAGTACATTGGAAAGCAGTATAGCCATGCCTTTACTCATTTTAGAGGTGGATTGTATTTAGTTCTGACGTAAATTCAGCATCTCATTTTTAAAATGCAAATCTTCATGCAATGTTTTTCAGTAATAAGGTCAAGCATTGTGAAAACAGAGGTTCTGGCTATCATTTTGGCACATATTCTGCAGATCACTATGGAAAGGTAATGTCATGTGTGCATTGCATTTTACGTTTTTCCACTGTAGTGATTTGCTTTTCAATTTGGTAAGAATTCCACTTCATAATATTGACATACTCTGCTGTCTTTACAGTTTGAGTGATGGATTTGATGGATAATTGAGCAGTATCGCTGTTGCCAAAGTTTGTTTTTAGTTGTTTAAACTGCATTTTGCTCCTACTGAATGATTCAAACCGCTCAAGCAGAATGACCATTTGCAAAACAATGATTGAGACTCCTCTCAGCCAATCACAGCCATCTCTAAGCACTACTTCCTCTGCCAAAAGAAGGACTGTATGAGCCCCCCAGCTCAGCAGTTACTGCACAGGGAATCTGCCGTTTTCTGTAGTGCATCATTGTCAAAATCGTTCCAGTGCACTGGAGCTTTCATTCCCTGAAAGTTCCCACAATGCATCGTAAAAAACAGTGAGTATCAGCTGTTTACTATGTTCTCTGATCGGAAGTGACTTCATGTCTTAAGTGTTGTGAATTGGTTGAAATATCAGTGGGAAAGCTCATAACGCTCAGTGCATCTGTTTTATGAGTGAAGTCCCGCCCTTCAGTAAAATGAACCAGTCGACCTTGCTAGTTAAGCTGCAAGCAGGAAAAGCTCCCCTTTGTTGTGGAGATATTTGCAGTAGCTGGAACAAGCTGACAAAAGTGTTACTGAAATGTTAACTGAATGTCTATACAGGGAGTCCTGGGCTCTGTGCTACTCTTTTGCAGTACTCAGATAGAATAGGTTTTACTGTACGCATACAGTAGTATGCAAACATTCGAAAACATCTGTTCATGTTTTGTTTATTCTAAGCGTAAATAAGTTAATGCATCCTCTACAGAGAACACAGGTAAATATGGCATTGTCTATGTAATACTTAAGAACATAATAGTGCCATTACTTCTGCACAGGCCGCATTTTATGATTAAATTTTTCGCAGTATGTTAAATTCAGCAAATAAACAGCAACTGTGCTTTAAAATGTGCAGAAGTGTGTTCGCTGTGGAGGATTTGTTAACTTATTTTCACTTAGAAAATCACTTAGAATTTTTTGCCAGCCTTGCATTGCGTACAGCTGTATGTAGTTTTACTGCTGCTGTTGATATGTGAACAGCATTTTATTCAATGAATAAATGTTTTACTTTCTGTCAAACATTCATTTACTTTTTTTTTTTTCTGTAGAGTGAGGTCTTTCCCTACCCGGAAATTAGTAATGAAGAATTAGAAGAGATCAATCAGTTTGTGTCCCCGGTGGAGAAGTTTTTCAGTGAAGACGGTGAGTAAAGTGAAGAGTGACATTGAACTTAGTCTGACTTAGAGGTGGGCAATATGGCATAGAATATGACTTATAATATCGCAATACTTTAAGAAATTTTCACGATGCATGATGGGTCACAATATTTTTATTCAATATTTGGCATAATGTCTTGCACTTAATCCAAATGGGACAAATTTTGCTCTCTTTATAATGAAACAGAGTTGGTCAGTGTTCTACAAGTACTGACAATATGCATGATATGCTTAGAAAAGCATACTGTATTGTATTGTGACATAATTTATCACAATAACGATATATATTGCCATACTGCCCAGTCCTAGTCTGACACTGTCTCACTGTTTTTATGGCATGTGCTGTGTCAGCCTATCCCCATTACTGACTTTTGCTCTAGTTTCCATACGTAAACAAAACAAGCACAGCTGTGCGTGTAATATTAGAGATAGCATAGCTGTATTGACGGGTATCAGCATATCGGGCTGAACTCAGCAGAAAATGCTGGATCTGGATATCAGAGGGGAAAAAATAAGGAAGTGATTCAGTAGCTTGAAATAGTGCACACTCACATTATGTGATGTGATGTTAGCTGTGAATTTCTTCCTCTGGGAATAATAGTGTGTTTGAGTAGTTTGAGCATGATATATTTAGATGCTCAAGAGGAATGCCACCATTTTTTCTATATTTCAACATGGTTTACATCTCAACAATTAAATTAAGTCTTTCAGAGTTTGATGTGAAATAAATCATTGAGGAGAAAAATTTATGGGCATTTTTCTGTTCTTTTCTTCGAACCAGGGGTCGTAATGTCTACAACACAGATATAGTCATTTTATTGTTTATCCAGAACCACCAGGAAAACTACATGTTCCTTTGATATGTATCGTTGATAATGGTAAAATGGTGGTAAATTTGAAAAAAAATGTTTTTAGGGACTGTTTTGTGTTATAGCGTGTGAGGTAGCTTTAAGAGGCAATAAACTCTTTGGACATCTGGTTCCTGTCACCACCACTGTGACTTAGTAAGTTTCTCTAGAACAGAGCATTTCACATCAAACCACTCTCTATGACTTTGTGTACATCTTAATGATTTCATTTCGCAGAGAAATCGCAAAGTTGGTACAGTTCTCCTTTAAGTGAAGTACTTCAATAGAAAAATAGATTTAAAATAAATTTTAAAGCTTAGTAGTTTTTAAAGATCGTACCAATATTCAAGGTTTCAATATTAGTATTGGAATTGGAAAAGAAAAACTGGCATTGTGCCATCTTTTAAATATTACGTATCTTTCTTAGTTGATTCAAAGAAGATCGATGAGGAAGCCCATATCCCTGCTGAAACGCTGGATGGACTGAAGGCTCTCGGGCTGTTTGGGATCCAAATACCTGAGGAGTATGGTAAGACCAGGCAAACGTCTTCTGTGGAGTTAATGAATTATTTCAGGATATTATAAGCCCTAGTTGTGTCACTTCTTTCAGAGCTCAACTCAAAACTTTCCTTTCACTCTCCCTCTCGCAACAAACGAACATTTTTTATGGTTTGATTAGCGCTGTCATGATTACTCTTATTAAACTTGGCTTCATAAGTCATGAATCCGCAGTTTGAATCAGAAATTGAATAGATTAATTGGCATTTTGCATAATGTCATGGTACTTCATGTAATGTCACGATACTTCCGAAATTTTTCACGATATACTATATCGTGGTTTTTTTTCTGACATCTGTTAAGTCTGAACGGATCTATAAGTACCAGTGGTGCCGTGTTTTAAAAAATACTATCAAAAATGCTATTTGTTCTCTTACTATTTTGGATCCTTGTTTCTGTATGTTTATGTTTGTAGTGTCTACCCCATTGTAAAGTGAATTATTAATAATAATAATAATTATAATAATAATAGTAATATTATTACATATTATTAAATATTATTATTATTATTTTTAAATATTTGTTAACCCCAGATAAAACATATTACACAATGACATAATAACAACAATAAAGTAAACCAACCAGACAGCTGGATTGGTCTGAAGATAAAGGTGCTCTGATATTATTAGTTAGCGTTTAAGCAGTGATAAAGGTGTGTTTTTCTCTGTAGGTGGACTCGGCCTGTCAAATACGATGTACGCCAGGTTAGGAGAGATTACATCCATGGATGGAGCCATTGCTGTCACTCTTGCGGCACATCAAGCCATTGGTTTGAAGGTAAGTATTCTTTCTGTGTGATGGTATTACGGAGGGTAAGGGTATCGCGTTTTCTCTCGGTCAGTCTCTTTTTTTTGTGTGTGTTTTTTATGTTTGTGTGATGATGTAGTTGATTAAGTGTTCCTTGCTGTTGGTAAATGCATTGTGCTCCCCTAAAACCTGCAGCCCTTTGTGGATAAGATTAGACACCCCTGGTTTAACTGATTGGATCATAATTTATCTCCAGTTTGGATCCTGTTCATGCCTGCACTGTTCTTTTTTTTTTAGGCCCAAATGCCAGTTATCCAAGATATGTTTATTTGAAGTTTGCTTTTTTAGTTTGAATTTAGGTTCCTAATGGCTAATGTAGCTGACGAATAATGGAAGATAATTCCCCACCAGTTTTAATTTTCAGCTTTTTTAATTTCTGCATTATTGTTGTCTTAGGGTATCCTGATGGCTGGAACTGATGAGCAGAAAGCTAAATATTTGCCCCGACTGGCTTCAGGAGAGCATATAGCAGCCTTCTGTCTGACTGAGCCTGGGAGGTGTGGTTTATTTACAAATAAACTGACTATTCATACTACATACATACTGAGAGTCCTGAACTTCCTGAGTATTATAATCCCGCTTTTCTGTTTTAGTGGGAGCGATGCTGCCTCTATTCAAACCCGGGCTACGTTGACGGAGGATGGGAAACACTTCTTGCTCAATGGCTCAAAGGTGGCTGTCATATTTATTCAGCCATAGGGCTTGCTAAGAAGGGGGAACCTAATAGAAAACCCTTTACAGGCCACTTTAGTGGCCACTTTATTAGAAACCCATACAGTTAGAAGTACAATTTTTGTTAGCCATCCTCTAGCTCTTTCACAGAACTGCTCTTAGATGAATATTTTTGGGTGGTGGACCACTCTCAGCTCAGCAGTGACACAGATAAACCCTGCACTCACCAGCATCACACACAGTTCCATGCCAATACCATGTCAGTGTCGCTGCTGTGCAGATAATGATCTGCTGCCCTAATAATATCTAGTCAGCAGTGGTCCTGTGGTCAAAAATTGACCAATGATGGACGGGTGGTTGATAAATCATGCAGCAACAGCCAAACTTAAATTGTACACCTATATTGTAGACCTTAAAGGTGAAGGTGAGTAGTGTTCATAAAGTGGGCATTGATTGGAAGTACAAGGTAAAAGTTTTTAAAATAAGGTCTTGGTAAAATATTTGATTACACTAAACTCAGGTGTATATTTTATCAGTAACTTTGTTGTTGTCCTCCTAAGATATGGATTTCCAATGGCGGGCTAGCGGACATTATGACAGTGTTTGCTAGAACGGAGGTGCTGGACAAGGACGGGCAAAAGCAAGACAAAATTACAGCCTTCATTGTAGAAAAAGCGTTTGGTGGGGTGATCTGTGGCAAACCAGAAGACAAACTGGGCATCAGAGGCTCCAACAGTGAGTTTACACACTTCACGATTCATATAATCAGTGCATTAGAATCAGAATCACTTTACTGGCTAAATACACTTGGCATGTAGTGCTGCACCAATACCTTATTAGTATCAGCACTGATACTGGTCAGTAGATGGACCTTGCAAGTAACATGTCATTGGTGTTGGATTAGTTCATGTTTGAGAAAAGCAGTAGTAAAATGCTCACTGCAGAATCTGTAATGCCAGTATTTTGAGGGTAGGCTCTAGTTGTGGGTGATATACCGGTTGAAACTGTTCCTAAGGTATTAGCTACAAATAAGTGCAGATATCATACAAACAGTGCTAAACCTTGACCTGAATGGCTAAGTCAGGTATCTTTCTGCAAACTGTCTGTCTGTTTTGTCTGTTCTTGGTTATGGTGATGTGGTGTACGACTCGTTCAGTACTGATCATTGTGTATTATATAAAGGAGCTTGTTGGCCCACTCTATCTGCGCAAAGGGAGACACACTGGCTACTTTTTATCTGTAAGACTCTCATCAACCAGATGCCACAGAACATCACATCCAGGCTTACGCTGAATAACAGACTCTACCTAATACGCTTAAGTTATTTCGTTACACTTCAGGTTCCCCAAGCTATTACTAAGGCTGGGTAATTTGGCTTTAACTATCGTGCATAAGTGAGCTGGAAAACAGTACAAGATACACTGAAGCTTAAATCGTTTGTTACCTCTAGGGTTTTTTTTTTCTCTCTAATTTTGCTCTGTTTGTTGTTTTATTTGATAATTTTAGTTTGTTTTTAGGTGATTGTTTTGATTGCTTTCATAGTTGTTTTACAAAGTTTGTTGTTTTATTATTTTATTATTATTATTGTTTCATTATGTTGTATTTTTAATTTTTCATCTTTTTTTGTTGTGCAGGTCTATTTCTTAACCTGTTATGTTATTTAGCTATTTTTTATTTCCATTGTGACGATCAGCTGCATTGAAAATGAGGACTCCCCTCAATGTGTGCCTGAGTTAAAAAAAAGAATGAAGATTATTATTTACATCCCATACATTTGGTTTACATACTAGGTTTCATGAATATTTTGAGATTTTGACACTGTATTAATATTTTATTTATATATATATATATATATATATATAAATGTAACATGCTAATTCTGGATACTTTTTAATTCTTGCTATTTTAGCTTGTGAGGTGACATTTGAAGACACAAAGGTGCCAGTAGAGAATGTGATTGGTGAAGTTGGCGGTGGATTTAAGGTAACTCCATTACACAGCATTGACCTTAAAGTTCATGTTGCAGGCAATTAAGCAAACGAGTCCAGGCTCTGCATTTCTTCATCATGTCTAAGGGTTGGACAAGCTTTGCTGAACGTTAAGACAATATCCTATTCAATCCATGAGAAAATGTGGTGCGTAACTGAGTTTTTAAAAATCTATAAATTTAGTATTCATATTTATTTAGTATGTTTATGATAGGTCGCACTGTTAGAATGAACTGTGTGTAGTTTTTGTTGTGTGACTGAGGTTTGTGTTACACAGGCTAAGCAGAAAGTTCACCAGTTTTAACGTTGTTAACAAAGTAGCCTAGACCAGTAGTTAGTGTAGCATGCCAACAACATTTTCCCCATTGTACTTGACATATATAACATTATGGCAAAAACAATGCATTTTATTATATCAAGCCGCATCAGTGAAATCAAGCTATGGAGAGACACAAATAGAGGTGAAAACTTCAGATCCCCACAAAAAATGATAAAACCTCACAGCAGGGTGAGATTATACAACAAAACTTCACCTGATCTGTCTTAAGATGTGATCTTTCACATTCATACTTAATAAACATAATCTAAATTAATAACGCAGTAGCCATAAGTTATTGATACGGAAGTATTTTGGCAAACTATGTTGTCTGCTACAGTTTCTGATTTGAATGAATGGGAGGTTTCTGTACATCTGGTCCAACCTCACAACAGTTGCTACAAAAGAACAATTCAGAAGAATGTGGATAGAGCATAAATAGGTCAATTAGATGTTACTGTGCTTAGCAATGTTTAATGTGTATGTACTCTGTGGTTGTGTCTTTGCAGGTTGCGATGAATATCCTGAATAGTGGAAGGTTTAGTATGGGCAGTGCAAGTGCAGGCTTGATAAAGAGGCTGATTGGTACGAACACATGAAATAGAAAGACTAGTTCATGATAACAAAACAGATGTGGTCATTCTCATATTTATATTGTTTTGTTGAATTATATGTATATGTATATTGTTTTCCAGAGATGACAGCAGATTATGCAGGCACAAGGAAACAGTTCAACAGGAAGCTTGCTGACTTTGGAATGATTCAGGTAATTGTTGTTGTCATCTCCTTAGGCTGATATAGATGTAAATGTCATGATGCATCAATCTGAAATGAAAATTGCTGATGCATTGAATTGATCCCTAAAGAATAAAATCGAATTGTAAGTTCAGAGATTTAAAGCCCTTGTAACAGACGGTGGTTGGCTGACAGACATATTGCTTTGTTGTTTTTGGCACAGGAGAAGTTTGCCATCATGGCCCTAAGTGCCTTTGTGATGGAGAGCATGGCGTACCTGACCGCTGGAATGATGGACCGGCCTGGACTTCCAGACTGCTCTGTAGAAGCAGCTATGGTGAAGGTAACGTCACTTTGGCATATGTTCTTTCTTTAAAGCATAAAAATATAATTCTGTTTGTCCTGAGTTATCCATTGTGAGATCCATTCAAAGTTAAATTGAAGGGTTATAAATGTCTGTGGTTGATGGTCCAAGAGAGCTTTGCATTAGAATGGGGCTACATGATATACTGTTTGTTAGGCTGTAATGTAAAAATATAAGCTCTAACCAATCACAATGCTCCTTACTGTGTACTGGGAGCATCCTTATAAAGGGTTTAGGTATATGCAGTGTTCTCCAGTAACATTGGCACCCCTGGTAATCATCATATTAATTACTTATTCCTTTTGATCTTTCATTCATAATATTAGTAAAAATCTAATCTCTAATCCTTTATTTAAGGTAAAATGATTGAAAGAAAAAACTAAATAAATCACAGCTGGGGAATTGCAGAAATTAGTTAGGTCCTGGGGTCAGAACATCTCCCAAACCACAATCAAACACCACCTATATAACCACAAGTTGTTTAGGGGGGGCAGGGTGGAGATGCCTTGACTGTTTATCATCTGCTGCTCAAACTGTTTAAACATGTCTTTAAGCTTTTTTTTCTCTTTCGAAAAGTGACAAAAAAAAGTTTTTGTGGCTGACAGTTCAGTGTTTCCTCAGTAGTTTTTCCATATCATGCAGCCCTAGTTGAGAAGGATGGCTTAGACATTTAAAACAATGGACCACATTCACCAACCGCTCTTAAGAAGAAATTTCTTCTTAAAACCCACTTACGCAGTTTTCACAAAGGTTCTGACATTCACCAGTGTTTTCTTATTTGGGATTTGTTCTTAGGTAAGAACAGAATCTATGCACACTCGAGCACAAAGGTGTGAACAGTACTGCAGTCTAAGAACCCGTCATGAATCTGACGTAGACTTTGTCTTAGGACCTTTCTCAAGAACAAATTTAAGAAAAAAATTGTGGACATTGGTAAATGAGGCCCAATGTTAGCCAATTAGCCAGTGGGCATCTGGTAGGTCATATGCAGTATTGGTCACTCAGCACTCTCCTCCTATGATCTTGCTTGAGGTGTCAATTGGCTTCACAGATTGCTGAAGAAGAATAATAGCTCTCACCCTTCCCGTACTTTTAGGCATTGTGCTATAGAGGAGACGTAGACTGCATCTTAATCTATGTAATATTCATGATATAGAGCATCACGATGGGTGTTTATAATTTGCAATGGCGACTGAAAACAGAATACTTAAGTACACTCTTACAAACCCGCACTGTACTGCAGTAGGTAGTGTATAAACAGTGCACCCAAAAGGACATGGAATACTCACAATGCACTACGTCTGTGCATTGTGTAATGCATGACAAGCAAACCCATCAAATGTTCCCATATGAAATCAGTTACTATATTTTTGTTCATGGATTCTGTTCTCTGTTTTAGTGCTCTATATAGTGCTCTTGATCTTCCAATGTAGAGCAGAGTGACTGGGGGACCATTTCAAAAGCATGCTGCATTTGTGACATGTGGGAACTCTTAAAAAGCTTTCACACCAGCGTCAGAGTTTGGTTGATGCTTTGTTTATTTTAAAAGTGGATGTAGGTGATGGCAATTCACTGGTAATATAGCGCTAATAAGTACATAAAGCATGCAGTTAAGCTTGCAGTTATCCCAGTAACCCTTTGAGGTATCACACATACAGCCACATGCAGAAGTGTTCAAATTACACATTTTGGTAAATATGCATCCTCTACAACATTCTTTTGCACATTTTAATGCATAATTACTGTTTATTTGCTGAATTTATTCAAATAAAGTAATATTTCAATATGTTCCCTGTAGCGGATGTGTTAACTTATTTTCACATGTAATTTGGTCAGACTTTTGCATACAACGAGAGCACATTGTGAAGAAAGTCAAAAGTTCTATAAAAAAAAACAGGCAATTACTTCTTGTTCTGTGGATGCCGCCATGTTGATGTGACATCTGGAAATGCAACTTGGGAAAGTCAGAGCTTTTGAGAAATTCTAACCTGATGAATCTGAATTATGGGTTTGATGGATGTTCAAATGGATTTTTTTCTGCTTTGAAAGTCACAAGTTTCCCAGGTCCTACCTGGTCATGGACAGAGCAGTAGTGGTAGCTAGTGAGTCACAACTGCCAACGACTAACATTCAACAGAATTTAGGACAAGAAATAGAAAAAAATAAAGGAAGGGGGGCAATATCAAATTAAATATCAATATATTTATATAATAATATTATTGACATTTGTGTGTGTGTGTGTGTGTGTCTGTCTGCAGGTTTTCAGCTCTGAGGGTGGCTGGGTCTGTGTAAGTGAGGCACTGCAGGTGTTAGGAGGAGTGGGATACACCAAGAATTATCCTTTTGAGCGCTACCTCAGAGACTGCAGGATCCTGCAGATATTTGAGGTACTTTTGTTATATTAGGATTTCAATGCTGTCATATTACACTGTTTTTTTCCAGTTTTTTTTTCAGCAACAGACCTTTACATTGTGTGAGCAATTATTACCACTGGGTCAATTAAATGGTCCAAAGTTACTTGGAAAAAAAAATGTCATTACATTAACTTGCATAAAAATGAACAGTTCTAAATTACAGTTGCCATTGTAGAAATACAAGAGTATCTCAGCATGGATTTATTGAAATACCTTTTTTTTCCATTTAGAAACTTTTTTCACATTTTGACCACTAGAGGTCATGACATGAAATGTTTTATATCTTTTCTTTTAGGGAACAAATGAGATCCTGAGGATGTACATCGCTCTCACAGGAATGCAGTACGCTGGCAAAATACTAACGGGAAAAATTAAGTATGTATAAACTGTAAATAACAGAGCATGCCTTTTCACCGTTAAAGAATGTTGTGAGATAAACTGATGCTGCTGCTGTTCTCCCCTTTAGGGAGATGAAGAAGGGAAATGTCGGTGTGGTGTTTGAAATGTTGGGGAAGAAGCTGAAGGGCTCTCTGGGAAGGAGCGTTGACTTCGGCCTGACCGGCAAAGACGGCGTGGTGCACCCCAGTTTAACAGTACTAAATCTTACCTACTCACTTACTCAACTACTCATGCTCTTATATAATCACTCTAAGACAAATGTATCTACAAAATCTATACTGATATAGTATTAAACATGTATTATATAACTGAATAACAATTTAACATAATAATATTTAGTAATAAACATTTTGATAACCATTCAAATTCTTTGGGATAAGAACCTATGAACACATTCAAAGATGCTTTCATAAATATTTAGCTAGCTCAGTTCATGATTGTTCAGCAAAATATGATTTGAATGTTTTGTTGCAGATTTTTGCATACAAGTTTTGTAAACAAACTTAAAAGCACTGTCCCATTTTTGCAGACAAACTGTTCCACTTTACTTGAGGGAAAAACAGTGCCTAATTGCCTAATCGTGTTTCATGGTTTACCTATAAAAACTATATTCAGTACAGTTTTAGCACATCTACATTTAAAAGGCTTGTGACAAATACATAAACATAAAACATTAGTCCCTTGTACATTTAGTGTCCAAATTATTCTTGTTTCTTTGTAGAGTGTTAACATATGTCGTGCTGTAAAGGAATACAGTAGTGTACGTCATAGTAATAATCCAGTAACTCGCATGTTAGACCCACAGTGTCCACTGTAGCTGTGCCTTGATCTGTGAGTGACACTTCATTACAGGCAACATTTTGCCTCTGACAGATCTTTTAAGCCTGTGTGGTCTGGTAGCATTGCCTGACTCACACGGGCAGAAATCATGTCATTGTGTCTCCCACAGGAAAGCGCCAAAATGTTTGAGCAGAACGTGGCTCTTTTTGGGTCCACTGTGGAAAGTCTGCTGTACAGATATGGAAAGGTAAACTCTTCCTAAAAGCTTTTGGGTGTATCTGCCATTTTTATTTACTCTTCCATGCAAGCCACATAAACAGACACAGACTGACACATAGATGAATGGAAAGATGAATGGATGATGGAGACATGAATGGATGGATAGGTGGATGGACAGAGGCAGATCAAGGGACAGACAGATGGACAGAGGCAGATCAAGGGACAGACGGATGGACAGGGACAGACAAAGGAAATGATGGATGGAGGGATGAGTGGGGAGAAATATGAAGAGAAACAGAGAGAGGGAGGCACAGAGAGATGGACAGAGGATGGATGGATAGATAGACGGATCATAGACAGCCAGAGGGAAGAGATGGGTGGATGGATGAACAGAGTGATAGTTGGACAGATAGACAGGGTGAGATGGATGGATGAGTAGAGGGATGGAAGAAAGACTGATTGGCTGAGGGATAGATGGAGAGATGGACCGATAGAATGATTTTTTGGATAGATGGACTGATAGATGTTTGGATGAATAGAGAGAGAGAGAGAGGGATAGATGGATAGACAGAGAAATGGATGGATAGTTAGATGGATGGATGATCGACAGATAGTCAGAGTTGGATGGATGGCAAACAGATAAATGGTTGGAGAGATGTTGGGATGGATGGTGAAATGGATGGACAGAGACAGGGATGGATGCTGGATGGACAGACATAGACAGGGAATGATGAATGAGAGATAGAGGATGGATGGATGAGGTGGGAAGACATGCAGACAGAGGGAGGGATAGATGGAGAGAAGTTTGGAGAAATGGATGGTGGATGAATAGACAGATAGATGGAGACATGAACAACAGACATACAGAGAGTCAGGGGGGTGAATGTATTGCAAAAAACTGCAAATGAAACTGCAGATTTACAGCAGCAACAAGAGAACTAAACAATCACATACATCTGTGACTTCAACAACACTATAGGTTTAAATTGCATTGCAGAAAGTCTCTGGCCAAAACAAACTGCTCTTTCTCTCCTCGCTGGGAATTAATTCCTCATTTGATCATTTCCTCTGTACATTTTTGGAATACCTCTGGAAAAAGCCTGCTGTATGTTTAACGTCCCAGAGTGTGTTGCTGGTTGCTGTAGAGAGGTGCAGGGTAATTAGCGTGGGCTTGTAGACCGCTGGAGGGACCCAGCTAGTCCCTTCTTTCCTGTTACACTGAGGTAATGCACGGCCTCATGTGTGGGACAGCTGTTCCCCCGTCTCTCTCTTTCTCTTTTTTCTTTCTTTCTCTCTTACTCTCTCTTAAAAAAAAACAAAACAACAAAGCCCATACTATTGTAATCAGGACTTGTAATAAGCCCTGGAAAGACTTCAGATTTCCAAATGCTGTTTTTTTTTCCTCCTCTATAACATTTTTTTTCAATTTCAATTTTCATGTGAAGGAAACGTTTAAAATGAAATAAATCTTCTAACCGCGACACTCACATCTGCACTCATGGAAAATGGCAAGTTCAAAGAGAGTCACAGAAAATGTGCATGTTTTATAAATATTCAGTTCATCTTCACCATCTTTATTTGACATGGAGAAGAAACACACTTTCACTTGGTACTGGCTAGCACAATACCTAAGTGTTTTCAAAGTGTTCATTTCTTTGTCACTGACATTAAAACCTCATAACACCATTTCAAAACACCAGCTGCCCTTTACAATGTGTGAACGCTCTCTGAAGATTGGACCAATAGAAATGGTTAAAGACATTAAGTTATTAAAACTGTGTACATTCCTACTCCTAGACAGTTACACGGCTGTTATGACAGCAATGAAATGCATGAATTTATTTTTGTTGTTTTATTGAATGGTTTTCATTCTTGTCATCTGTGTGGCACTTTCTGTTTTAGACTATAGTGGATGAGCAGTTGGTGTTGAAGAGGGTCGCTGATACGCTCATTAACCTGTACGCCATGACAGCCGTCCTGTCCCGAGCCAGCCGCTCTATCAGCATCGGCCTGCGGAACCACGATCATGAGGTAACCAACCAGCCCCAGCATTCCAAACGCCATTTACACCACAGCATTTCAACCAAGCTTTCCATCTATACATTTAAAGCAAGCCTTTCTCCAGAGAATTTCAGTCAAGGTTTATCGCCAAAGCATTTCACCCACAATACATATTGATTCTTTCAGCCCCAGTATATTATGTAGTAGTTCATTGGGTCTCTGTTACTTTTTATTCTCTCTAAAGTACTGTATCATTTATGATTATGCTATTATTTTTTATTATTATTATTTTTTTTTTAAAGACTAGCACCGCTTATCAATTTCAAACCATTTCAGTCACCCTACATCTAAAACGAGCTTTACCCCAAAGCATTTCAACCCCATTACATCTAAAATAGGTTATACCCCAAGGCATTTCAATCCTAATACATTTTAACCAAGCTTCACTCCAAAGAATTTCAACCACCTATGTGTAAACTAAGTCTTACTCCAAAGCATTTCAACACCAGTACATCAAAACCAAACATTACCCCAAAGCATTTCAATCCTAATACATTTTAGCCAAGATTTACTTCAAAGAATTTGTACAAAAATACATGTAAAGCAAGATTTCCCCCAAAGCATTTCTATCCCAGTACATCTAAAGCAAGCTTTACCCCAAAGTTTTTCAATCCTAACACATTTTAACCAAACTTTACTCCAAACAATTTCATCCCACTACATTCAAAACAAGCTTTGCTACAACCTGTTTCAACCCCACAACATCTAAATCAAAGCACTTCTGCCTCAGTACATATAAACCAAACTTTACCCCAAAGCATTTCAACCCCACTATATCTACACCGAGCTTTAATACAAGCATTTTAACCCCAGAATATCTAAATCAAGCTTTACCTAAAAGCATTTCAGTCAAACTCCTAAAGCCTGTTTTACTGAGGTCATAAGGTTATCCACACTAGCTAATGACAGGAGAGACAAAACCAAAAGGTCTCACATGCCCCTCAACTATGAGCCTTTTGTTTAGAAAAACCAAACAGGGGAAATCCAGAGACCTGCTTTCTACTAGACAGATGGATAGATTAATGAATAAAGGAAGGAAACAAGGAATGGAAGTCAAACACACAAAGGAAGGAAAGGAAGTAGAGGATAGGATACACACTTGGTGATAGAGTAAATAGAGAGAGTTGTTGATTCCTGTCTGTTTGAATTGTACATGCAGATGAAGGTCTGTTTGTAGGAATGTCACTGTGTGGGGAAACAGTAAGACGTTTCTCCACAAATAGAATAGTAATGCCCACATACTGAGCTAGTAGAGCTTCAGTGTCTTCTTGAGTTTGGGCAGATAACAGATTTGCCTGGTTTCTTTGTTAGAATATCATGTCATGCTGTGAGTTTTCTGTTATAAAGCGTACTTTTCCGGTTTTTAAATCTGATTGGCTGAGCCACATTCAAAGTCTTTGTAGAATACCCTTATATTCATGTATACACATCAGTTCACTTCTGTATAACTGCACTAACTTAATGCTGGGTATTGATGAAATTCAAGTCCAAAATATTTTGCAAATAAATCATGGTATCAGATGATGTTTGTTAGCATTAATAAAGGTAATGAGCCCATCTTTCAGTGCTGCTACTCTTTATTACAAGAACATGTTCCAAAAGTAGCTTGTTTGGATTGGACTGTTTTGTTACACCCAATTTACATAAAAGACAATCAGAAGTAAATGACATCATTAAAAAGCTAAAAACAAATTGCTTGGCCACAGGCACACTATTTTATGAGAATTAAATCATGGACATAATGTTTACTGTATGTCAAACATTTCACAGAAATATCACTAAAAGTGAAGCACAGTAGCATACTGTATCAGTATGACAGTATATCTGTATATCCCCATTGAATAGAGCAAGTGATTTGTTCATTGAAAAATGCATTATACTTAGTTTAACACAATCGCTTGGTGGAAGAACTGTTTATTCCTGTTCATATATAAAGACTGAAATTACTTCTTAAATGTTAGTGTTACTTTTATTGCAGAAAAAAAGCCACTTTAGGCTGTGTTCTTGAGTGCTTAACACAACTATTTAAAAATCAGTGTAAATGTAAATACAAACTTGTTGCCTTTTAGGTCATCGCTGGGGTCTGCTGCTCCCTCATTCCCCCAAAACCGTTTCATAAAGTATTTATTTTTTATGAGCCAATCAGAACATAAGTAATGTCTTCTATGTAGGTTCTCAACTTTTAAAGCTTTACATTGTTTTTTCATCAGATGCTGCAGCAACAAAGGCTATGTTCACACAGCAGGTAAAAGTGGCCCAAATCCGATTTTTTTGTTTGGCTGTTCACGTTATTTTTTAAACGTGATCTATACGCGACATCAGTCTGAACAGATCAGCTCCTAAACTGACCCGCATGCGCAAAAGAACACTGCTTCACGTTGCTCATCCAGAGGTAGACAATCATGACTTCCAACGAACGCCAGTCGCTCCGGAGGTCTCAGTTTCATCTTCGCCAGCAATCATGAAGCTCCATTGACTGACAGCTCGGCTCGTCACCCAGAATGTGTTCCAGCTCGCCGTAAAAAGGGCATGTTATTCGGCCACGGTCACTGCTTTGGTTTGTGTCCTCACATTCTTTAAGCTTTGCTTTTAGACTTTTAACTGTTCTTTGACGCTGCAGCCTCGTTTTCCTACGGCCGAGTTCGGACATTTCTTTCGAAATCTCTTTGAACACGGAGGTGTTTTGGATGAGTCTCTTCTAACATTTTGTACAGCACTATCACCCCAAATGTTTGAGGTCTCAGCAGCGCGAAATTATGACAAACGTTGAGTTGGATTGACGTAAAAGCCGCATGAATTCCGATCTAGATGTTCAGACTGAGTCGCATTGCCGCGTATCAGATATGTATCGGATTTCAGTATCACATATAAAAGTGTCTCAAATCGGCATTGAAAATGTCAGATTAAGTTCGTTTTTTGCTGTTCACATTGCCACACAGATGACACATTACCTGCTGTGTAAACGTAGCCAAATTGATTTGGAAGTAAGCTCTTTTCTGCTTTGCTACATCAGAGTATACAGTTTTTAACTAACTTTTGATACAGTTAAAGAGCAAATACAGTTGAATCCACATATTTGGATCATTTTTGCAAACAAGGCAGTCAACGACTTTTCATATTTTGAAATTGATGCCTTTTTTCATAGAACACATTCCACAAATACAATCATAACCACTAAGAGACTTCTTAGCAACTGTTGACAAATTACATTAGAGTTATATTGTGACGAGTAGCAATCAACAGGGTCCAAGAACAATAGGCAAATATAATGAAATAGAAAAAGTATAGACTTTTTAGCAGATAGAACACAAATGATGGGCGCTTATTTGAATGACCATTTATAATTTTTTCTAAGGGTCTTAAAATATGTTTGCCAAATTGGAAGGTTGAAAAATGTGGGACGGCAGGTTTCTGAAAGTCATCTTTTTCACGCCTCACAAGCTTTTATTTCTGAACACATGACCTTGAACCGCCTATATGCTTTAATGTAGTGATTTCAATCACCCTAATTCTTAGCATCTCTTCGAACTTACACTTTTACAATTTTATGCACTTCCTTTGTCATACGAATGGTTTTAATTAAGCTCATGGGAAATGTGTTGTCCATCCCTGGTTTAGGTGTTGCTCGCAAACACTTTCTGCAAGGAGGCATACTTCAAAAACAACTACTGGATGACTCAGCTGCAAAAAAGTGAGTACAGCATCAAAATGGTAATTGGCTCCAGCCTTGGTGAGTTTTATAGCGCTTGCAAGACAAAAGCACCAGCATGTGGAGTAGAGTTTCTCACTTGACTCTACAAACCGAAGTCACTCATCAAGACTTGCATGCTCTCATCATACTGTTCCAATTAGCCTGAACCTAATCGCTTTGGCTGAACCCTTTATAGTGAATTAAAGAACACTGAAACTTTCCAGCAGCTCTGCACAACCAAATAGGACTGTGATGCATCAATCTGAAGGTGGCTATTGGACTGTATCTATTTTGTTAGAGTTAATATGATTTGGGATCATATAATTAGTGTTATTGAAAAAGTCATACAAAAAATATAATACTCTCTTACCATTTGAGTATCAAATGTAAAAATCCAAAAAACTTGGTGTATTGACTTGTGCACTGCTGTGTAGTTTCTTGAGTCATATTCAGGTTTAACGAATACTGAATTGTACAAAATAAATTGATTTGTGGTGAATTGTAAGGACTGTAAATGAACAAATGCATTGTGAGGTCAGAGATTTATAGTAATTAATGTGTATTTGTTACAGATTCCCCAGAGAACAATGATGCCAATTTAAAGAAGATTGCCCAGGCAGTCCTGGAAAAGCGGGCTTATACCTGCTCACATCCTCTTGACAGAACATATTAAGCTGGCTCTTGTATCTTCAGGGGATTTGACTGTTTCCTGCATTCTCATAGGATGTTAGGATCCTCAGGATTCTCAACTCTTATTGGCTGGGTCATTAACAATGATAGCAATGTGCCATTACATCTGTTCATCCATCACAGTAAACCTCAGTCTAACCCACTCTAACTTCCTAAAGGAATACTCCAGCATTGTTCAACTAATCTCTATCTGCTGCATCTGTATTGTATGGTCAATGACCACTGACAATTATGATGCATTTTGCTAATATTAGAATTATTCCTGAGTTCTTACAGACTCCGCCTGATCACCATGGATACTAGAAGACCAAAAGTACCCAGAACTACCACATTGTGTTGCTGCAGTGTTAGAAAGTTGCATAAAACTTTATAAGATCAGCTTTGGTAAGACATTCTCTGTCTGTAAAAATGTGGTAGTGTTAAATTTGCATTATAAAGACACTTTCAAATGTTTATTCATAGAATAAAGCAACTGCCCATGGGTTTTTAAGTAGGAGGAAATGTGCCGATTCTTGTCTGTGATAACTGACATTATGAAAGATGTGGCAAAAAACCTGGAGTATTCCTTTGATGTAGAAATGTTCATGATTTAATTTAATTGTATAAATATAATTTACTACATTGAGATTATTAAACTGATGGAACTGAGCTGATATCTCCAGTAGCAGCATGACCTTTAACATTTCTGACATAAGTAATTTCTTTTTACTTTATTTGAAGAGGCTCCTTACAATACCACCAAAGTGCTTCTTAATACAGTGGTTCTCAAGCCAGTTTAGAACTGTGGAACAGTCTGGTGGACTCTTCCCAATGACTGGGTTGTGAAACACTGCCTTGATACACAATCACTTTAATGCTGAAACGCTGCCAAGGTCATCTTCCAAAACAGCCTTTTTAATGCATGTGTACAGTAACACTGTTGTTAGTTCTCATTTCTGTGATATTGCTCCTAAGCTGAGGGTGGGCTGCAGCTGTCATGGTTGTTTGGGGAGGCTTCTGAAACGTGCAGTTTTTCTCTTCATCTGTAAGAGGCAGGGCAGCTCGTTTGTGCTGACAGGAGTGATGTCTCCAGTGACGTCTGTAAAAAGCAGACTGTTCCTTCAGTCATCTGATTTTATTTTGCCTTTTTGTTTTTTTCCTTCTCAGCAAACCAGGTGCACACACACAGTACTATGGAAAAGACCACCCTTTCATTTTTTTAATTTCCAGTCTATACAGTCATTAAGTACAAGTTATTTATTTGTTAGTATCGGGGGGAAAAAAATAGAAAACATACATTTAACAGAAAATAACATAGAAGCCTCAAATTGGGGCAACTGGTTAGGACTTTTTCTTCTCTCTCAAAGATAAAAGCTTAAAGTACTGGTTTTCTCATGGTGACAGTTTTGGTGGTCTCCCAGGTCTTGCAAAGTTGCTAAGAGTTCCATTTTCTCTATAATCTTTCAATTGTTTTTTTTTTTTAATTCCAGTTACAGATACTGTTTTAAACTTGCTTTCCTTTGACTTTGGCCCTGTCTATATGCAAGTGTAGTATATCAAATCAAAGATCTGATCTCCCCAGGGTTATATCCCTTTAGACATTTTAGATGCACATGAGAAATTTGTAGCTAAAGTGTTTGAGTTTGAGTAGTTGCGTGTTTCCCTTTGAAGTGTCAATAGCAGGTTTTCCATCCACCAGTTTTTTTGTGAATTTTGAAAATGCGCAAAAAAAGGCAGAAATTTGAAAAACACCCAAATATCGCAAAAAGAGTTTTACACTAGGACAAGGCTGAAAAATCACAATATCGCTGAAGCCGAAACGCAAAAAAGGGTGATGGAAAAGTGTTATTCAAATAAACAATGACATATCAAGCTGTAAGGGAGAAACGATTGGCCCTACAGATGTTGCGATCACAGCACGTAGCTTTTCGAAAGCTGCTTTCGGCATTCTGAAATGCCTAATCAAAAGCTTGTTTCAAAAATGGCTCTGCACAGCGTGCTTACAGAATTGTCTGGTGTGTTTGCATTCTCAGATACAAGGTGGACATTGTTAGGGTGGCACTGAGATTTCAGCCCTAATTAGGTGGGCCATTGCTTGTCCTGCCTAGCATCTCCGAGCTGCAAATAACACATCCATAAAAAGACGGCAAATGGCTGTAAAGCTAATTCTACTTAGAGCAAAAAAACAAGTTAAATCTCTCCGTCATGCTCATTTTGATGCAGTCCCTACTTATAGTAGATGTCTTTTTCTGCCTAAATTTTGTAAATGCACATAACATTTGTGGAACGTTTGAATGGAAACCCAGCCAGTGACTCTTTTGAGAAAAGTTTTTTTTTTTGGGAAGACACAGCTGAAACTCACTGGTTTTAAGATTGGAATGATGGTAGAGGTAAACTTGAGAAATAATGCTTTTGTTTTCTGTATATATGGCTTTTCCTGAAACTGAAAACTGAATAACTGCAAATATAACCGGAATAATGAAAAACTGCAAATTAAATAAACGAAAAGGACAGTAGATATACTGCACTAATTGAGAGGCTTCAATCAAATGGGCCATCTTTACTCACCCAAGTTGGGACATGGAGTATTGGGCTGTGTGTGTTGGGTTGGAGTTTGTATCCACTTGAGACCTGTGGTTCCAGAAGGGTCCAGCTGATGTGGACCTGCTCTCTCTTTCTCTGTTGGATGTGTCAGTTTGCTGGGCCACAGGAAACACTGGCATGGGCTGAAAATACACACACTTTTTACTGAACTCTTTCTAGTTTGAGTACATTAAAGTGTTAAATACAGAAATATACTTGATTTTAAACCTTGTCTCATTGTCATTCATGCTTCTCTTTAAAGGAACAGTTCAGGAAAAAATCACAATTAGAAAATTTCCCCCTCACTCCAAATGTAGTCAATCAGCTAAAACATGTTTGGTGTCTGAATTAGCTTCAAAGTTCAGTGGTCTTTGTCATTCCTCAGTAGAACTTGTACACACTGAAGCGAAATGTTCTTCAGGCCTTCTTTAGTTTTGCAATGGCACTACAAGACTAATGCAGTAATGGAAGATTATTACTTGTTGATTATTACCCACTGAGTAGTATCATGCCAACTGCATACATAAATTATCACACTTGCCTGAAACAGCATCAAGCTGTTTAGTAATCTCAAACAGACTTATGTGGTTTCTGACACTGTATGGCACGCTTGGGTATAAAAATGGACACAATTTCTCTGCTTTTATTATTTTACATTCTCATTTTACATTTTTCCTATACAGTAGCATGACTATACCATTATTCCACTATATAGTCATACATTAACACTTGCTTAGCCAAGAATTTATATAGTAATTTACCTTTAACGCCCCCCATGCTGTCTTCAGAGATAGTCCACTTACTGCAGAGTCTTTATCAGGTAAGATCTTCATGAGCCATTTGTTGTGCTGAGCATGTGCCGCCTGGAGCTGCTCCTGCAGCAGAGACGCTCCTAGAAGAATGGTCAGCAGTGAACATCTAATTTGTACCCTAAGGGTGCTTTCACACCTGCCTTGTTTGGTCCAGACTTTCTGACTTTTCAGTTTGGTCCAAACCAAAACAGCAGGTGTGAAAGGTGTCTTGGACCACAGTCCAGACCAAAGGACAAAAATTTGGTCTGACTAAAAGAGGTGGTCTCGGTCTAGAACCGTGGTTCGGGTCGTTTGCAGTGTGAAAACACTTTTTTGGATGGTGCAAACTTTCAGACCAATTACAGGAAGTTGAGTCAGGCTATCGTCACCCATTAAACAACAGAAGAAGAAAAAACTGGGAGGGAAGTAAGAATGACAGGCTTTCAGATGTGAAAACACCCTAAGACTACTTTAAAGAAATATTTTGGCAAACATTTGTAGCAGTAGTCCATACTTTTATCTAATGTGTAAATGTAATTTTCAGTGTTAATAGGACTGTGTCCCTGTAAATATGTTGTGTGTTTACCTGCCAGGTGAATGGAGATTGGGGGCTCTGGGCTCAAAACAGCAGGTGGTTTGATATAAAGCTCAAAGTCCTTGTGGTGCTGGCTCCATGGCCACCTAGACCTGTTCAGGGTTGGACTCAGTTTGTTCCTGTGGAGAATATTCTCTCTCCAGGGCTGGACGTGAAGCACAAATTTTCATTATAAAATGGAATATTAACATCTTAAAATCTCAGGCTCATTACATACTAAGGCTTATTATTTATTAACTACAGGGACTTCAATGCAAACTGGCTGAGCTATTCTTAGGTTATAGAAGTGTGTAATAAAACTGGGCCTTCTGGTGGATCCTGGCCATTTAAGGGGTTGAAGTTTGGAAAAAAATGTACAAAAAATAGATTTTGTATAATAACATTTACAGAAGTTAGGAAATGGGCTTCTACTGTTTTTAGCTAGTATTTGTTTTCACGCATGTTTACAGATAACAGTACTTGAGATTAATTAACAAATCAAGTCCGGTTGCTAACTGATGTATTCTACATGAGCATCTATTAATTGTTGGCTATGTTAGCCATGTAACTCTAGTGCAAAACTAAAGAAGCAAGCTTCAGATACAAAACATGTCTTTGCTGTTACAATTGGGGTAGAATTAAAAATTTCACCCAACTATCCCTTAATCATATTATTTGCAATCAGATACATTCACTCTCACAGGCAAGATAAATTACTATAGAAAGGAGTAAAACTAGCAACATTTGATGGCTGTAGAATTCCATACTTCCATACATCAGGGTCACTGATGAAGGTTTATATGCCGAAATGCACTGGTTAACAAATAAAGTGGGGAATTCTCAAGTGTTGCAGGTTTTAGGCCTTTCTACACTTTTTGGTTCTACCAAGTATCTTGTTGGACAGTGACTTTACACCAGACCACTCTTTTGGAGAGCAATTACTAACCAAGATAGGGTAAGTCATATATTCTCAAAGTCACATATTTGGGCGGCTGGCTTATATTCCTTTGGTGGACAGTAAATTATAGATGGGTGCATCATATAAAGCTGGTACTCAAGCTTTGGCGTCTGCAGCTATCAATCAATTTGCATTAGCCATGTCACATTACTGGCCACTTAAGCTCAGAGGCTGTTTAAGGTGGACCTGGTAGGAAAACAGCATTAAAACTCTATCTTCTTGCACAAGTTCTAAGGAATGCCCATAAAAATGCTGTGGAACACAGTGGAGATGAAACTTGACACTCATGGGGTTAATGGTGGACATGCCTGACCATGACAGCACCTTTCTGAGCTCCTCCAGCCGTGCCTCATCTGGCCGTTTGGGGTGTCTATTGGACTCGATGCTGCTCTTGAAGCCGGGATAAATAAAGCCATCATAAGTTCGCCAGGCAGCACGACTCTTGGCTGTTGAGGCCTTCTGCTCAGACTCTATATCAACAGGATCCACCGTGAAGGAATGGTAATGCTGGTTATAGGAGAACCTACAAGCTGGAACCTAGTAGAGACATTCATTAAGTCATTTTCAGGACCAAACATAGTTCTGAACAATCTTTTGCTGTATTTCAAATTAAAATATAAGTAGAGTCCACTGCCTGTACAAGATCTCATGCATATATCCATTCAGATACTCTGGAAAATACTATTACTAATAGTAATATTTCTTCTCTGAAACATTTTACAAGCCCAAAATTTTCCTTTTTTGAAATTTGATACATGACACTGATAAAGGTCAACTGCCAATGTCAATTGACCACCTCTAAAACATCTTCAGATGTCACCATGATAAAACTAATTTTAACCAATAATATGTTTCACCGCATTCTGACTTTAATGTTTTCAAGCATACCATTCACTCTCTAGAACAAATATGGAAACTACAGCAGCAAAAACAGCCAGTGTTTATAATGTACAAGAAAAAAACTGTTCAATTTAGGCCATGTAACATGTTTGGGTCTCTTGTATTTTCATTTTTGATTCAGTTATACTGACCTTTGTCATCTCTTTACGCAGTAGCTCTTGGGCCAGAGCGGTGCAGTTCAATTTTTGAATGCTGTAGTTGTGGGCAGACTGACCATCATCCACTTCAGCCACAAACACCTTTGGTTTGGGCTTCTGTAAACAACTGCTAGCTTTGTGGACTTCCTCAATGTTGGCCTGAAACAAATGGCAGCAAGATCCATTTCTGTCTTACCAAACAGTCAGTCATTTTGCTATTTCTTTTTCAAAACGATCAATCACACCTGAACAAAGTTTTTTGTGTAAAGCCCTTGATTTGCTTGAGTCCGTTTCCACTCCAGGTAATCCTTATTGAAAGTGTCCAGAGGAGTGTGTGTCCTCCTCTGAGAGACGTGTTGATGTGAATTGTGCTGTGCTGAATCTTTGGTGTCCACCAGTAAACTCTCCGCTCCTCTCGTATGAACTATTCCAAACTCTTGCTTCAAGCTGAGAACCATCTTAGCTGATGGGAACAGGTCGTTCTGCACCACTTCTTCAAGCTTCTTCGCTTGGCATAAATGCTTTATTCTACACCAGGAAGAATAAAAATATAGCAGTGAATTCACCTATAAATCTTGAAAAGTTTTCCCACATTGCAATTTTGATTTAAAGAATTACTATCATTCAGACTTTCCATTCCAACACTGGTGACGATAATGATGATGATTATTATTAGCAGTGCACTGTTAAGGGAATTGTTGGACGTATTTTTTAACCAATTATCCGCCAATATTGATGTGATTCTGACATTATTATTCCTGGTGTTATTATTATTATTATAGTTGTTGTATATCACACTTTCATGAGTAATATTATCTCAAGGTGCTTCATAAATAAAGAGTGAGATACAAAAGGTAAACACATGTAATCGCTGCCCCCCTAAAAAGGTGTTCTTCCAAGGGCTTTTTAGTAAAGTAATGATAAATGAAAATGAAACTGCCTTCTGAATGCTTAAATGGTTCTTTGTATGGTTAAATAGCTCTTCTCTCTGATGGAGAACCTCTCGTAAATGGCTCTTCATATCCAGTCCCCTTGTGGAGAATATTCAGCCTGCTTAACATAAGTTAGTCAGTGCCATGAGGTGTTTATGTATTTTTAAGATTAGCTAAGCTTATTCTGTACAATGAAGTTTTAATTCAACATTTAATTCTGTTCTTTTATATTAAATGTGTAATCATACTTTCTGCAGTACTTAGTATTTTAGAAGACATCATACTGGATCCTAAAATGTAAAGCTTTTTTCCCGTGCATGGTCTCTGTAGCCATACCGTAACAGGGCCTGGAGGCAGGTGTATGGGAGCACATCTCCTATGTACACCAGTGGCTCCTTCAGGATGGTGTCCAGAGGCTGGTAGAGATAAACAGGACTCAAACCTAGATCCAGAGAATCATAGAGCCTCTCCGAGAAGCTCAGGCCTGAGTTGTAAAGAACAGTGATCTGCTTCTCTACATCATCCTCCAGCCTATAAAATACCACATCTGTAAGAAAGACTGGGTCTGGCTGTCACATTGCTACAGTCTTAGTAGTTCAACATCTAAAGCTCTCCAAAGAGAATACATAAACCATAAACTAAAAGTGTAATGTGGTAAAGTGATAAAGAACAAGCATTTGCTGAGAAGCAACATAAAAATAAGCCAGGCGCACAAGCTTGCAAATAGCAGTACCCAATTATTTTGCAAACTGTCTCTTTAGTCCTTAAAAACACAAATTTAAAACGCAAGTTCCATTTTAATTTTGTGTTGCTATCATCTGCACAGAATCTGAGAAATAATTTGTATAGATGAGTGAAAAGCGTGCCAACTCTTGACCAGAAAATCTTTCCTACATCCAAATAATATTATCTTACTTTATAGGTAATGTTTCCCAGAGCTGTTTGATGGCTTGTCCTTTCAGTCCCTCCAGAACAAAAAGGTGCAGAGATTTGTCCAGTATATGAAATCCTGTCAGAACATTTAGATTTTTGTTTGCTTTTTCCTTGTTGCTCATTCTGTAACTGCACAGGACTTTTTGAGCAGTTTCTTCAGTGTGAGAGTCCAGTTGGAAAGCTGCCACATTGATCTGTAGAATCTCTGACCTCAGTTTAGTCAGGACCGGAACGTTATTGTAATTGAAGATGTAAACAATACGGCCAAAGGGACAGTGTTCTTCACTTTGGTCAGGGTCAAGAATTAGCGGCCTTGCCACCTCCACCTGAACCTTGAGCTTAGAATTGGCTTCGATGTAGTGACCCATGGGCAGAGAGTTGTCTTGAGATTCATCCTGAATATCTGCTTTCTCAGGTAGCTTTGTTTCCCAATCATTCTTCTCAATGCCCAGCCACTGCCCTCTATGGGAACATCTTATAGGTAAGCTGAGATTCAGACATCTGTTTCCTCTTAGAAGATCCGAAAGATTTAACTTGGCAATGCCGTATGGATCATGCAGTTTATTGTCATGGGTAGCGCGCCTGGTAGTGGCTAAAGCCGTACTGGCTAATTTGTCATCAGTGCCAAAAACGGCTGGACTTATGAATGGCTTTTCAGGTTTTCTGTCACGGTCATGCACCTCAATCTCTATCATCGGACCCCTGAGGGACTCCAGCAGTTCTCCAGCGCTCAGCAGGCCAGTCAGGATGACATAAACATCTCTGAAATAAATATCAGAACTGTGGTGCTGTCCTTTGCTTCTGTGCACTGGCATGTTGTAGAACTTATACTGGCAGTACACAGGCAGACATTTTTGCTGTAAATGTAACAAAAACTATTATCAGATTATTTTTATTATTACCCTTACAATGCCATTTCAAATACTTGAATGTACAGTATATGGCATTACTATAAAATGTCTATACATAATTTAATACTGAGACAAACTTGGTCCCTTATGGTATATACACTGTGAAATGCCTTTTTTCCCCCAAATTAGATGTATTATTTCATTCTTGTGGCTCATTACAAGTAGGGATATTCTATTCATTCTAAGTGCAGATTCTAACTTTTTTTTCCACACCACATTTGTGGTTGTACAGTCATATACAAAAGGATGAATATTCTCAGTCAAATGACATGTTTTGTTTTTTTAACATAATGGAAAAAAACTTAAAATGCCCTATAACTTTTGCACAGGCCACAATTCATGACATATTCTCTTAGACAATCAACAAAACATGTCATTTGACCAGGAGTACCCAAACATTTGTCAACAATTGTAAGTAGAAGAGGAGATTTTTTTATGATTTGAATTTGATGAAAACTTACTGATACATGTCAATCTTTTGCCAAGATTAAAAAAGATCACCTGAAGCTCATTAAAAGGAACGGGAGATGACGGCAAAGAGGAAGCGGAGAGGACAGTGATGACCAGTGGGTTGAGCTCAGCCTTCAACTGTTCAGACATAAGCGGCTGGTCCAGAGCGATGCTGCAGAAACCTTCACAGACACTTCCAGAATGGGCCAGGAAAGAGCCTGTTAGAGACTGGTCACCTGAAACATGGACATCGCAACTGTTAAAGCCATTTGTGTCCATTTTAGAACACATAATAAACCTATAACATACAGCTTAGAGTGTCTTTGCTTTTAAATATCACATGACATATAAAGCAAGACATAAACTCACAAGCGCACTTTACTGCATGGTTCTAAAAGTTCAGGGAACATTATCCCAGTGTATGTCATAAAATCTGTCCTATCAGTGACTTTTTGTTCTGTTTACTTCTTTTGGTAAGATGTCAGACATGTTAGTGTGAACGCTAAGGCAATGGTTCTCAACCTTTTCCACCCCAAGGCCCACCTGGGTTTAACTACAAAGCATAATGGCCCACAGGAAAACTAAGATCTACACTTTTTTTAAGCACAACTTTATTTTTCTTTTCTTAATCGCTCACCCTGAAAACCTGAAAATTAGGTCCTGAGAAAGATCAGATTGGCCATTCTCGTTGTCAGCAGGTTTGCAAAATTTGCAGGTATGTTAAAAAAACATGAAACATGGTTATAGTGTTGTCAAACGGGGAAAAAAAGAAAAAAAGAATAGAAATGTACAAGGTAGATGTGATGGAGCTGCAGTCGATCACGTTTTAACTGAAAATTCTCCACTGGCTTTTCCAAAAGAGTAACTGTTTGGTCTCAAGATGTCTCTAGTTTTTAAGAGTTTTTGTGATTCATTTGAAATAAACCACACTCCATTCACTGTGCTTTTAGATTAGCGTCGTCACAATTAACAATAATGGTAAATCTTACCTGATATCTGCTTCTTTGTCACTGCTTTATCAGTTTGAGTTTAACCACTCAGGTCTGCGAGCCTTGAGTTGAAAATAAACGCATCTCTTCTACAGTTTTTAACAGCAGCTTGTGCTGAGTGTCTGTAAAGAGTCAGTCATTAACATAATTACTATGCTGACTGTATGGTGCCAATGTGCCTCTAGAAGAGAGGCAAAGCCAGCTCAGTTGATGAATTGCCTCGTTTGATCACAGAGCGGGTTTCTAACTGCAGAGGACTGAACAGGGTTCAGTTTAAAGCAGACAGAGACCTATGGGTTTCTGCTGGACCGGTTCAGCTGTTTGCTGCAGACCCAAATACGGGTGGAGTGTTCACACGTGTCTAAACGGTGCGAACTAAAGAAAAGGTGTGATAAGTCCACAGCAAACAAAGCGCCCCTGAAAAACTCCGCCGTCTTTGGCTAGCTGTCTGCATCACATGCCCACGGCTGCATTATCTCAGACTAATGACGTTTAGTTAGCACACTACTGCAACATTTTTATTTGTACGTCTTTATTAATATTTATATTGGTTATCCTGTGAAAATGTTTAATTCTTAGATTTTTAATTATTAAGTTAATAATTTTTCCATATTTGTTTTTATGACTTACAGTGATTTTACCGGCCCAAATTACTGCCACTAGAGGGTGCTTCACAGCCCACAGGTTGAGAAACCCTGCACTAAGGGTTCCAAAACTAAAACGCTACAATGTATCATTTTTTGTGCACTATAACTGAACTATAACTAAGCCAGGTATAAATGCAAGCTTGCTTTACAATTAATACATAAACAAATTACTACTACTCTTAATAATAATAGTCATATTGTATAGCAGTCTCCACCTTGCTCGACCCTGCAGTGAAAGTAGCTTCGTGTGATTCGTCTGGCTCCACTTTATGAGAACATGAGTGAAATATTTCCCAAAAACTAAAGCTTTCATCAGAGACTCCTGCTGTGGCCCGGAGTGATGCACATCAAAAGCGCACACACACATACATACACGCTCTAGCAGGCTCAGGCTGCTCAAGCTAGGCCTGTGGGGCCAGAACAGCAGCCCCCAATACACTCACACACCCTCAGACTGCACATAAACATTCCCCTCACTGACAGGAAACACATGGGAGAGCACAGCAGAGATGAATTCAGCTGATTGGTCTGTTGAGTGTTAAAGGTGTAGCTGCTAATGGTCAAACTTGGCCTATCTTGGATATGAAATAATGAGTGAACATACACTATATGTTACTGTGCAAAACTCAGAGACTACCCGTTATTTAATTTCCAGTCAAAAGAGCCATTAAGTACAAGTTATTAATTGTTCAGGAGGTATTTTGAGGAGATTTGATAACCCAATTGCATTAGGAAGGGGAAAATAAGTTCAAAAAATGATTAGAAGATATAGAAGAGCAAATGGAACTCCCAACAGCTAGATGGTGTTCTCAGAACAATGGACGGGCTACCCCAGAGTCCAGGCCTTAACATTATTTAATGTTTTTGGGATTAGGTGAATTGTGAGCAGCAGAAAATGCAACCAACTTCTAAGACTGAAGTGTGGAAAAATATCCCTGCAGATTTCTTTGAAAAAATGAAAGCCCCCTGAAAAGAATGGAAGCTGTAAAGGCTAAGGTCTCGACATACTAAATACTAATATTTTGTTTTGAGGCTTCCGTGCGATTTTGTGTTAAATAAAGATTTTCTGCTTTTCCCCAACATTGAAAAATGAATTACTTGTACTTAAAGGCTATATTTGACTGGATATTAAATAATTGAGAACGTAGTCCCTGACTTTTGCAGAGTACTGTATGTCCAAATGTATCTTTCAGACAAATCTTTCAAAATCAGCAGTTTTAATAGGGAATCAGTCCCCCTTTTGCTGCAGTAACAGTAAAGAAACAATGGAGCTTCATTACTCCAACTCATCCCAAATGTGTTTTCTGCTTTTCTATGGAGCCTACACAATGTGACACTTGTGTCAGCAGTGGGTCCTGAATTTGCTAATTAGAAGGGCTATCTAGACATTTTTGGGCACAGTGTAGGTTAGATGGCAAATCCTGCACCCCACACGCATTTAATACAGAAAGCAACTGTAGTATGAGTACCTGCAAGTAGATACATGGCACTGAGCTCCACCGAAGCAACACCGTTTTTGCACATCTGTTCTGCTTCTTCTGTATTCTCCTGAGTGGATTTATGAGCAGCGTTCTTATTACACATCACCAAGCTATTGTCTTTCATAGAGCTAGGCATTGTGAGATCTGAGTAACAGAAAAAAACACAGAAAAATCACAAAAAGAACACAGAAAATATCAGGGTGGTTTAAACCCCCTTAAACTGCAGGTTGACTCTTCAGCAATTATTCTACATTCAAAGTATTAAGTTGTAAATAGTTCAGTAACTAATACATAGGTTATATAGGGTTAAACCTTTACTGATTAACCATGAAATGCTTGAAAAAATGATTTATTAAGACAGATATACATACGGATGGTTGTGGTGTCCTTTTGGCTTTCAGTGCAGTGATCTAATGACTCTTTTTGTGCACACTTTAACTCTGCCAAGTCCTTGTCTTGGTACAGCATGGCTCTTTTAAGGCTCATTTGGTTCAGTTGCCCCATCCTGCTTTTCTCTGTATTGGACAAATACAGAACAATTTGCTATGTTTCTTTCAACTGATTTTGTGATAAAGATCACAGGCTTAGTGGACTGGTTCTAAAAGGATGCAAAAGCATGCAGTGCACCCTCAGTTTTAATTACTGCACTCTTAGTTGACCTAACTCCTGTAGAGCAGTGCGGTAGCTTATAGAGAATTGTTAGGTATGTAGGATGGCCCTGGCAGTGTTTGGAAGATGCAATTGGCCTACATAGTACACATGCATCAAAAAAATGTCCCAAACGTTAGTGTGGTTGCTGCATACACTGTGCATTGCATTGCGATTAGCATCTTCTACAATGGCACTTACCAACCCTGCTCTTGGAGGCCCACTGCTCTGCACATTTTTTTTTCCTGTTCACAAACTAAACCTACTAATGAGCTCATTAACAACCACTTATTGAGCTGAAGTTGGTGTGGTGAAGGAAGAAAAGCACTAAAATATACAGGGTTGTGGACCTCTAAGACCTGGGTTGGGAAACACTGGTCTATGGTTAGTACTGGAAGTCTGCTATATTGGGACTTTGCTTCCTCAGATTTGAGTTATTATCTTCTGAACTTGCGTCAGTAAAGCTTTTTTTATTAGAATCGAACTTGTTCTGTGGTGAGTAGTGCTGGCAGCATGCTAGCTAAGCTAATGTTAACCAGTTAACGTTACTTTCCTGGCTATCAGTGCCATTTAACAATTAGAAACCGGTGTTAGATTGAAACTTTGATGTTTATTGGGTGGTGGATGTAAAATAGTGCACTGCTTTCTTTCATTTGGCGTCTGTACGAGTCAACTAAACTTATTTGATAGGAGTTTTCGAGTTGGAAATAATGCAGCAGGATAAGGTGGCACAATACTGACATAAACGTAGATCCAATCAGCGAAGAGCTACATCGTTACATCATCCCACCGAACGGTTCTGTGGCCCCGATTACAGTTAGCTACCCACTGAGCCCAATTTTAAGCGTTCCATGTGAAAAAGCTACTGGAACAATTACCCTCCATGCACAAAACCATTCAGCCCTGCAGTGGAAAAGAGGCCCTAGATATCATGTAGTCATACCATATCATCAATAAAAATGAATGAGTGTGTGCACCCCTATTTACTTCTAATAAACATTTTTTCCCTGTAACTCTGTTATCAGACTAACTAAGACACTGTTGGCTCACTACGTGTGAAATGTGTCTTGATGTTGAGATGCTTGTGAGTAATGAGGGTTGAAAGGGGTGGGGTGAAAATCCTTTCTGTGAAAGCACTTCCCGCCTCTCCACAAAGACCGCCGTACACAATAAATTCAATTTTATAAATGCTGACATGCTTGCTCACCTACAAAGACAAAAATCCAGTTCACCGCTAGTTTGGTTAACCATACACATTTCCATCATACAACTAGCTATAGATCAACGTTATTAAAGAAAAATGCATAGTTTTACTGAGAAAAGGTATTTTACATCTTCAAAAGGAGATCATCTCGAATTAATCGTATTAATTCTTATTAATTAATTCTCATAAAACCCAGGGAACCTATATCCGTGTTTTCTTTCTGAGTAGGTTAATCTTGCTCTTGTGGGACACGATATATGTAAAGTTACAATGTACGTGCTGTATGTGCGCAGGATTAGGCCGATAAACGGGTAAACTGGACAGTACTCATCTTATCATGGGTAGAGCGTAGGTAAACAGTCCTCACCAGGTGATGTGGCTCCTCCCGCCCACACAGCTTTAACAAAATTGTCTTCCCCGGTGGGCTCCTTCTCTCATTCTCTCTCAAGTCGGAGAAACTTACCACGAGAAAACGAACGACGAACTAAAGCTAACTTTGCTAGCTAGCATACCTGGACTAGCAAAACCGTCCATTTATCCGTTCGCTCGGCCAATGAGCTCCCCTTACATTCACTGATAAACACCTGCAGTAAAGTTAATAAGTGTTGTACCTTTTTTTAAGAAGTCGTCATTTTTAAACCGGGTGATGTTTTAGTGAGCCTCGGTACTGTACGTTTTTTCGAAAAACTGTTCTTTTTTGAAAGCACAACATAATACACAACATACATGCTCGCGCTGTTGTGTTTAGTTCCGCCTCAGTGACGTAGCAGGCTGGCAGCCGTGGACTGACGGCTGTCAATCACGCACGCACATCAGAATATTAGGGCCACGCCTAAACAGTTCTCACAAGATTTTTAAGTCATGTTTTACTATATTCTGTCTGTTGTTTTTTTTTTCCAGACTGGATGTTTCATGTAACACTCAATTTTAGTATCATACAAACATTTTTAATAATTTATGCTGTGTTCAGTTAAGACATAGTAAGTCATTATGATGATATACTAAGTCATAATTATTAGATACTTGTGATTATGAGACAGGATCTCATTATTATGACATAGCTCATCATAATTATTAGCTTGCATGTCAATTATGAGACAGAATCTCATTATTATGACATAGCAAGCCATATTTATGAGATTATACACCGATCAGGCATAACATTATGACCACCTCTAAACTCCAGCAGCACTGATGTGTCTGATCCACTCAGACCAGCGCAACACATACTAACACACCACCACTACATCAGTGTTACTGCAGTGCTGAGAATGATCCACCACCCAAATAGTACCTGCTCTGTGAGGGTCCATGGGGGTCCTGAGCACTAAAGAACTGGCTAAAAGGGGGCTAACAAAGTATGCAGAGAAACAGATGGACTACAGTCTGTAATTGTAGAACTACAAAGTGCACCTATATAGTAAGTGGAGCCGATAAAATGGACACTGAGCGTAGAAACAAGGAGGTGGTCATAATGTTATGCCTGATCGGTGTAAGTCATATTTATAACATGCTATGTTGCAATTTTCTGATAATCAGTCAAAATTATGAGCAACTTTCTCATTATTATGACTTACTGAATGGCTATATATTGGTGGAAATGGACTTCCATACACTTGAGCTATGCAATCACATGCTAAAAAATGTTCACTGACTAGTTCAGGTTAACTGGATAATTGCTCTGAGGTTATTGGGGGCTGGATAAGAAATCTTTCCATTACGTTATAACTTTGTTGGGTCAGTGTAGGCTGTTTTCTATGTGCATATATGAAAAAGAAAAGGAAAGTAGCATGTTGAACCTTTGGCTGGAAAGTTGCTCTTTTTCTTGTCTCTTTGATCCACCAACATTCAGAGCCACAGATGAGGGAGCTTTCTCTTCAGCTTCTGCTGTCGAGAGCTTGGGATCATCTGTAGAAGTTTACAAAAGTGAATTAGGTTCAGCTATACAGTTTCATGTGATTTATTTATTTAGTTATTGCTTACTTTTAGCCACTGTTTTATACTGGCCACTTTATTAGAAAGCCTTCCTACGTAGCACCTTGCAGGTGTACAGTTAGAGACTATGGCTTTATCAGAGGTCAGTTTGTGACCACAGAGCTGTTGGCTGGGTTCTTTTCATTACCATACCAGAGTCAGTGCTGTGCTAAGAATGACCCACCGCCTAAATAATATCTTGTCAGCAATGGCTCTGTGGTCAGAAACTGACCAAAGATGAATGTAGTAGAGGCTGGCTGACAAATTGTGCAACAGATTGTGGGCTACAGTCTGTAATTGTACACCAATATAGTGCACCCATGAGGTAGGTGGGCTTCATTAAGATGCCAGAGAGTGGAAATAGGTAGGGATTTGTAATAATGTGGATAGTGAGAGCAAAATGCTAAGAAAATACCGTTCTTTTATACTGTATTGATACCTGTGGCACAGATGAGTTTTGAAGGCTTGTCGTCCACTGAAATGTTTTCTCTCTGGAACTTCATTGATGTTCCGGTTCTTGGATTTTCTTTGTCATACGCAGCTCTCAGCTTACACACCAGGCTTTTAATGCCACCTTGAGAAACATTTGGTGAAATGTTACTTAAGCACCTTCTAGACATTTGTGTAAATGAATGGTTTTAATTAAAGATCAACTTAAGGCAGGGGTCGGCAACATGTGGCTCCGGAGCTGCATGCGGCTCTTTTACTGCCCTGTTGCGGCTCCACAGCAGAATTAGATTTTAGATAAAAGTAAAATAATCCTCCTTTGCGGTAAAATAACACGGTTTTAACAATAAATGGTCTTAAACGCTGGAGTTAATGTTAATTCACCCTTTAACCCTGAAGGTTGACACACAGACTATAGCAACGCAGACAACAATCTTGCATAGCTAGTAGCTAACAAAAAGGCAAATAGAAAAATTTAAGGTGAACTTCAATAATTTGGAGACGAATGGACTTCATGGCATTCATAAGCACTCCAGCTGGTTTCCTGGTACATTTAATCTCCAACAAGAAACTGACAAACACTAAAAAGTGTCATTCGTCAACTTCCTGTTCAAATTTTCCCGTTCCACCTTAAATGGCCCAGCAGTTACATTCTGGCACCTCAGGCAGGCTATTTAAGGTGGATGGGGAAAATTTAAACAAGAAGCCGGTGAATGAGAAGTTGACTTCAGCCTTGTAAAAAGTCAAACGTTTAGAGACATTTTAGAAGAAACTATTCTACTTTTGCAGAAAAGTTTCCTGCTGGAGAGAAGCAGGAAGTATGCGAGAAAGCAGCTATAAGTTAGCTGACCTTAAGCTTAAAGCAGAACAAAGTTGTATTATTTTTTCAACCTATACTAGACATAAAATATTGTGGCTCCCAAGGTGGTTTGACTTTTGTTAAAAGGACAAAATGGGGTTGCCGACCCTTGACTTAAGGGAATGATAAGTATCCTGCTGAATCAGTTGTCAGTTTAGTGGTTTCCTGACATGTGGAATTAAATGTTCTCTGGCTGTTTACATGTGAGGAATGATTACCAAATATTTCAGCTTCGGGGTCCAGGGCAGCATCTGCCAACAAGAAGTTCACATCGGGAAATCAATGCCAATTTCTTGCACAGTTAAATGCAACAACTGGCTGAAGATGACCTAAGATCTATTGAGCATATACAAATGCCACTGAATAATATAGACAAGCTTCTATGATTAGTTTCAAGGAAAAATGAATTAACCAGTCATTCATTTTTCCATGACCATTTTAAAACCACCTTCAAGTCCTTCAAAAAATAATTTTCGCCACTCATTCTGAATGTGCGGAACAAACTTGACAAATTTGCTTATTGACAGATAGGAACAGCACAACGTTTATGATTTTCTCCTCATCTTCCACTGCTATAACTCTGCTACAGACTGTCTGCAGTAATAACACTCCGCATCGCTAAACTGTTGTAGACTGAATAGGCGGTCATCTGTAAAGGTGTTTGATATATATGATGTAAATGTTGTAATGTCACACCCATGATTAATTCAAACTGGCTTTTGCAGCTCAGTTTCTTTACATGGACTGTATGGGCTGTGGAGTAAATGGTACTCTTTAAAATGTAACAGGGTTTATATCGTATCACTCCAAAAACTAGGACAATTTAATTTTACATAATACGAGCCCTCATATTCCACACATACAGTGATACTCCTCCTAAAGCTTGCGGTTGAGCTACAGGGCACTACAGACACACTTAACCTGCAACATAAACACTGCAAGGTTTTGTTTTTTCTCCCACACATTAGCATGTGGAGTGGTGCAGCATTAACTACTGACCAGCTGTTTATTAACATTTAGATCTAACATTTAAAACACACTGAGGAAATCCTGTTTAAAATAGCTGACAGGATATATAATCATTCTTGGACGTCTTTTCTAAATGTGTGTTCATATTTGGAGCTGTAAGCAAACCTGTTTGGTCTTGGTCCTCCGTGCTCCTGTCCAGTCTGAAGGCTTTGGGCCGGTCGTACTTTGCTTTGGTGGACACTCTGTCCTTGGTGTCCCACACCCTGAAAGTGATTTTATGTGACAACATTTTAACAAGCAGCTCTCGGCTCACATTCAGCTTCACAGACTGAGACCATCCCAGCCACAGCTGATCTCCTTCCAGCCACGGCTTCAACACCTGCACAAGCCAGAGGAATATAGTACTATTTTAATAATGGCATAAGGCTATAGCAAGTCATTTTAGCTAAATGCACTTTCACACTTGCATACGCTACTTGTCAAATGTTTGGTGACCCTAGTTTCTCTGAGTTTCCAAAGCAATATTTTTAATTTTTTTTATTGTATTTTTTCAAGGGGAGACATTCAAAAGCATGCAATGACAACATACAATTCCATGCACATGTTAATTTCCAATTATATATATCCTTTCATACACCTTGTGATCTATATCTCTCCATTTTTTTTATTTCTTTAAAAATCTTTTTTTTCCCCTTCTTTTTGACATTCTGTAACACCAAAGCAATATTTGATGTTCACTTTTACATTTTTTAACCCCTTAAAATTCAAGGTTTATTACATATTGAGGCTTATTATTCAGTAACTACAGGAAACTGGCTGAGCTATTCTAGGTTATAGAAGTCTTTCATAAAACTTTAGGGCTGCCAATGGGCCCTCGCCATTTAAGGGGTTAAGTAAGAAAAATAGTAAAGATTTTATTGCCATAATTTTCTATTACAAAGAAATTACTAATACTAATAAGAAACGCTGAGTGCACATAGCTGCTGTCACCTTGCCTTTTTATTTTAATTTTTAATTACATGATGGGAGCAGAAAAGCACACTGAACCCACAACCCCCTGTGTACAGGGCAGCAGTGTTATCCACTGCTCTATCTGACATCTATGAAAAAGTGACTTTTAACTGTCTTTAAACAACGGGTTCCAATTTCATTTTACAATAACAAAAGAGGTAGTGACTTGCATGACAGAGTTAAGGAGATGAAATCTCCACAGGTGGGCCATTCCATGAAAGAAGTACAATTTGAGTCTCTATCCCTTGTTTTAAAGACAGAAATCTCCTTATTAATACTTTTCAAGCCAAAATATATGAATTCAGAGTTCATTATTAACATAGTAATTTCTCTATTATATTTTTCAAATATTTTTAGGAAAGTAAAACTGATGTTAGATAGTCTAAGCTTGATTACAGGGAGCATGGCAGCCTGTTTAGCCTGAAACATTCTAACCCATTACTAGTGTAATGGGGCTATAATTCTTATTGTTATTTCGCACAAATA